CCCCTGCCAGCAGCAGCCTGTTCCCACGGCTCTCAGGGCCTGGTCCAAATGCCTCAGCAAAGCCTGCATGTCCTTCCCCAACCACCACAAGCCTCTGTGGCCCTCCTGAGCCCTGTGGTCCCCACCACACCGGCCCATTGTGTGCATCTGGCTCAGGGCCCTTTGGACATCCTTCCACACCTTAGAGTTCAGGAGCAGTCCCAGAAGCTGCCAGCATCCCTGGATCAGGGCTCAGATAAAGCATGGAGTAGAACGCACCCCATGCCAGCGTAGATCAGAGAAAGAGCAGTGTGCGTGAAGCGTAAGCAATCTCAAAACATGGTACACCAGACAGAGGGTATAAGACACACTGCTTGGAAATGACAGACAAAAAACTCAGGGTGTCAGAAAACAGTATCGAAAGGACAGAAGAAATCTTGGCACAAGTTTAGCTTTGTGCTAAAGAACTTGGTAAGAGCATGAATGCAAGAACACAGAGCTCAGAGATTTAAAACCAGGGAGAGCTCAACAGTTCAGCAATTCCTTCAAGTTCCCTTTTCTTCTGCTAAAATCGAGTAAGTATAGTATTTAAAAAATCAAAACAGTACATCTCTGTCTGTTCATATTCACACTCTATTATTTTTGTGTGGTATGTGCCTTCCTCCTTTCCCTTCCTCCTGTTCTTCCCTTTCATCCATCCACTCATCCATTCATCCATCCTTCTATCCATCCATCCATGTGACCACTACTTCATTCATCTACCTACCCACTCATCTACCCATCCATTCCTCCACCTATCCATGCATGCATACCTCCATCTGCTCACCAAACCATCCTTCCACCCATCTTCTATCCACCTGTCCATCCATCCATCCATCCATCCATCCATCTATCCATCCTCCATCCTTCTTCCATCCATTCATGCATAAATGCAGAGTGAGATGTCTGCCATGATATTTATCAAATACCAAAGCAGTTATTTCTAAGTAGGGAATGGTGAACAAGTGTAGCTACTCTGTTTTAGAAAATGTTAGATTTCTTTAAAAAAATAAACACAGTATCATTTCTACAAAATAAATGGCCAGAGAGTCCTTCCGGTTGAATATGGGAATGAAACAATCAGAGTGGGATGACCCTGTGCAGGCAGGAAAGAGAAGAGCCACTGGCTTTGGGAGGAGGAAGGACTTGACAGGGAGCAGAGTCAGGAGGCTGCCATGCTCGGAGTGGGGTCCTGCAGGCCAAGGTTGGGTGTGTGAGGGGACATGAGTAGGAAAGGTGAGAAAGGCCCTGGTTTCAAATGTAAGGGGAGGGGAAAAACATTGTTTGGATAAGAGGGAGATGAATTCTCAAGTGCTTAGAAAGTATCTCCCAGTGCCAGGCTCTCAATTAGCTGCTTCTTACAGCTACATCATGTCTGGAGAGACAGGGCTCGCCTGACGGACTAGTTGCAAACACATGAGAGGAATTTAGCTCAGGCTTAGTCATGATGCCAGGGGTAGATCCTCTCATTTGCAAGGATTGGGCGTCACTGTGAATCAGCCTTAAAAGATGACTTTAACACATAGTCAGTGGTTACTCTGTGGTAATGGGAAGCTACCAGCCGCCTCCACAGACAGCCCTTGGGTCGTGCGCAGTGGCATGAAGTCCTTGAGGGGGGGTCCCAGTGACAGCCTGACCTACTTGGGGTTTTAAATCACTGTGGGAATGTCAAACAACTCTGATGGGGGTCAAGATGCATGGGGATTGCATGAGGTGGTTCAAGACGTGGTGGCAAAGATGCGACGGAGCAGGCACCCCAGAGCCCCTCCAGTGGGTGTTTCTAGGCTGATGCCTATTATTTATTTATTGATGGCACTGGGGATGGAACCCAGGGCCTAGAGCGTACGAGGTGAGCACTCTGTCACTGAGCTACACCCCCAGGGCCTTAATGCTTTATTTTAGATGCAATTTCAAATCTGTATGTATGGTGTCTGGTCAAACTGCTTATTAGTCAGTGGGCCATTGACAGTTTCATCCACATGGATAAAAACTCCTCGTTTTTAAGTTGGCCAGACATGCTTTCTTTTTCGTGGTCCTGTCTTTGAAAAAATGAAGTAGTGCCGGGTACGGTGGCACATGCCTGTCCACCCAATGGCTTGGGAGGCTGAGGCACGAGGATCGAGAGTTCAAAGCCAGCCTCAGAAAATGTGAGGCACTAAGCAGCTCAGTGAGACCCTGTCTCTAAATAAAATACAAAATAGGGCTGGGGATGTGGCTCAGTGGTCGAGTGCCCCTGAATTCAATCCCCAGTAACCGTCCCCCTGCCCGCCCTCCCGCCAAAAAATGAAAGAGCATCAAACTGGCTTGACTTTCAAGTGTGTGTTTGTATTTGTGTGTGGGTATCTGTTTGCATGTGCGTACATGTGTTCATGTGTTTTGTGTATGCGTCTTTGTGCATGCGTGTTTGCATTGTGCATACACATGTGCATGTCTGTTTGAATGCAAGCATCTGTATGTGGGTGTATATGTTTGTGCATGTGTGTTGCATGTGCTGTGTGTATGTGTGCACATGGCCCGTGGGGATGGCTGGTTGGGTCTCCTGCCTTGCTGCAGGGCCTGGTGCTGTGGGAGGGCTGAGGACGTGGAGGGAAATGGGGGCAATCCCCAGGTCTCTGTTGGTGACCACCGTGTGGCTTGTGATGATCACTTGACCAGGAGCGGATTGGGGTGAAGGGACGGGACGTGAGAACTGGAAGGAGCTGAGCTGGAGGCCTCCGTTGTGTGTGTGACAATGTCCAGTAGATATTTAGAGGGATGGGCAGGTCGGGGCACTGGGGACACCTCCATTAACAGGGGAAGGGGCTGAGTGCCAGGAGTAGAAGAAAATTCAAAAAGGAAGGAGGCGCGTGATCACTCGGGAAGGGCAGCAGGTGGGGAGCGCTGGCACAGCGCGGCGGAGGAGGCAGGTCCGCGGAGGGGCGGGCGGGAGGCGGCTGTTAGCAGGGAGCCGCCCTTTTCATGTATTATGCGAGCTGTGCCCCTACCCTGCCCACGCGGCCTCTCCGCTTTCATCCCTTGGAAGCCGGGCCTGGGAAGGGAGAGGCCGGGAGAAGAAAGCCCCCAGGCTGGGCCCGGTGAATGGCAGCTCAGGAGCCTTGGCACATATAGGACCTTTCCTTTGAATCCCGGGCTGTTCTGGGCTTAATTAACGAATAGCTCAGAGGCACCCCCTCTCCTCATTCAGAAAGGGACACAGCACCATGGAAACCTCATCCAGATTCCTTGGCGGGCACTGTCTAATGGGGCCACCCCTCAGCGCTGTAACTGGGCCCAGCCCGCAGGAGCCCTTGGGAAAGTGCTGGCTCAAGGCCATTAGCTGGTGCTCGTGAAGCCGGGCCAACCTGTCCCTCATCCTCATCATTCATATTCTGAACCCAACATCAATGCCAAAAGGAACTAGGGCTTCAGACTCTTCTTTTTTCAATGTCCCCCGGGGACTTGGGAAAATGTCATATTTGAACCTGTCTTGGAGCTGGGCATGGAGGTGCACACACCTGGGATCCCAGCTATTGGGGAGACTGAAGTAGGAGGATGGCATGTTTAAGGCCAGACTTGAACTTTGTAAGTAAGACCTTGTCTCAAAAAGGAATGGGGATGTGGTACAGTGGTAAAGTACTCCTAGCTTAAATCCCTGGTACCAAATACATAAATAAAATAAAAATAAAAACGCCTTGGCTAGGACCTGGGGTTACTCTCTCCAGGTCTTTAAGACCAGCATGATTCTTCCAGGCCAAGCTGGAGAAGATTCCCAAGAGCACAAAATCCAGTGGTAGGAATGGGCACGGGATTGTGTGTGTGCAAACGTGTGAGGGTAAGTCACTGATGTCCTCTGTGTTCATTTAGACCCTGAGGCTTGATGGGAGGCCTTACTTTCTTCCTTCCCTCAGCTCCAGCTGGGCCGAGGCTGCCTTGCTCTGCTCCTAGACCAGCTCATAGGCAGGTTGTCGGTGGCTGGGTGATTGTCCCTGCACTGTGCATCCTAGTCCCATCGGCTTCTGCAGGCCCGGCCAGCTCCTCTGTAAAGCAGAAGTTCCCACATTTGTCAACTGGACACTCATGTGATCTGGGTACAAAGATGACCTCAGGCAAATGCCAGAACTAGCACACAAGTCCCTGGGTTTCAGACAAACCAGACCTGGAACTGGACGACAGGGAGGGCGCGGTGGGAAGGGAGTCACAGACGCACCTGGCTGCTCAGCAAAGTATCAGACAACAAAGCGCAGGTACCAAGTTGGTTCTTTTTGGCATGGCCATCTGTGTTTGTAATTATACTCTCCCTGTTCCAGAAACAACGATTAGGCAGAATCTGGAGAAATTCCCGCACGACACATTTTTATTTCTTGATGTTCAAGTTCCTCACTCGTGTCCAAGGAACAGAAATTTAGAGGGATAGGGTGTCCATGACAACTCAGAATACCCACGTGGCAAGGAGCGACTCTCAATCCCCAGCCCCAAAGAGGACCCAGGTGAAATGCCCGAGGCACAGGAAGCTGGGGCTCCTGCGGCAGATCACCCCCTCTTAGGGGCATGTACAGAGAAACAGCAAGATTGCATCATGGGAAGCAAGGGCAATCTAGACAAATGCCTCCCTTACAAAGGCCAGGAACAAGTAGCACAAGAAATGACGGACTTACTCTTTCCAAAAGATTCGCAAGGAAATTATGTGTGAGGTGTGAGAAATTCTAAATAAAACACTCCAAAGATCATCAGATCAACTCCCAAGTCCCCTGAGCCATCTTGAGAGTTCCTTTTCAGCCTCCAGACAGTTCCTCTTGGGTACTTTCCAGGCTCTGGGGTTCCCTGCTTGGGGTAGTCAGCCTAGTGTTAGTGCTTCCAGGAGGCCCCTGGGGAGGTGGGGTGGTGGGATCCTTGAGAAACCGCATGTGCCCATGGCACCGTCTTCCTGTTAAGTCTCCAGTGCTCAGATATTCTCTGTGCCGAGCATGAACACTGCTTCTAACACCCAAGGAGGAATTTCAAAATTAGTTTAGACAGGTTATAATGGAATTTTTATTTAGATCTTGAAGGTTACAGTGCTTTCCACAGAAGTTATTTATATCTTTAAAAGTGAAGCAAAACTGCTGGGCTTGGTGGATCTGAGCTAGGATGGTCTTTTTCTAATGCAACTGGTCTTTTTGTAGGGAAGGATTCTGGTCCATCTGAGGGACAGAGAGCACAGTCCTCACTTCCCTCATCAGAAGACAAGAAAAGACATTCACCATCCAGAACATAGCCATCATATGTGGTCAGGGTCATTTGTCCAGAGGCCTGCACTAATGCACAGGCTCACTCGAGCCAACAGTCCCTAATATGTCACCTACTTTGTCCAAACACCAGGCTCTGGGCCTGGGGATGTAGCCCTGGTTGGCTCCGCCTACCAATCTTGCAGTCAGGTCCCCATGGGTAGAGGGCTGAGGGGCTGGGAGGCTGGGGACTTGCCTTCTCTGGCCCCTCTGCTACTCCTTGGTGGACTGCTCAGGCCTGCTCTCCATACTGCATGTCTCTCTCTGGGGTCACACTCCCCACTGAAACTTGCTGCTGAGTTCCCCCGAAATGCACTTGCCACAGGCTGCACCCTGTGCATGTGCACCTTGTCTCCATTTGGCTAGTTCCAGGGCAGCCTAGTTGGTCCCAGCCCCTTCCATTAGCTGCGTCTGGTGGGTGGAGAGCCATGGTACCACCTGGATTCACCTCTGTAAGTCATCTGGCATCTTCAGAAGGGCACCCCCTACCCCAAGTGTCCTAGCCAAGGGACAGCATCCTGGAAAGGTCCTGCCAGGGCTGTGTCCCAAGCCAGCCAGCCTCCTGTAAATCTTTGGGAATACCCAAGTCCTCCAGGCAGTGCTGCTGTGAAAATGAGCAGCAGAGACAGGGATCCGCATGGAGCATGCCCCTGGTCCAGCACACCTGCAAGCACCAGCTCAGGTCAGCAGGTGTGGCTGCCACCCACACAGTGCAGCCAGGTCTAGATTTTCACTTCTCCTGTTAGAGGGCACAGGATGGAGAAAGTGTCTTTCTTTTAAAGCTGGACTATCTACGCAGCCTGTAGCGGCAGGTAGTTTTGCTACTGTTCAAGTTCAAGGTGATGTGGCGGTGTTGCCGTGAAGGTCAGGGTTGAGCCCCTTCCTCTTGCACTTTTGCAACAAAGGGCTCTCTCCATGGCTGTCCTGCTACCCAGAAGGGGGCGGTCTCCTCGTCCTTCACAGGAAGGTGGAGTTCAAGGCTGACCTGGCTGCTGGCCCCTTCCCCTCCTGCCCAAGCCAGCAGCTCCTGTCCCTACCATCTCAGAGCCCAGGCCTTGGGCCATGGGTGCCATGTGGCACAGCAGCCAGGCAAGCAGTCCCAGCAGAGGACTGGGTGACCAGCTGAAGCTGGTGGCTGAAGACAGACTTGAGGTATTGTCACTTACTGAGGTAGCTTTAAGACGGAACATTTGCTTTTAATTGATCAACAATGCTTACCAAAATAGACAGGACAATGTACATATTTACAATTCTCAGGGCGTTTTCTTGGAAAACTCAAGCCCAGGGGCTGCTTTTGACCTCCTTGGCACTGCCCCTTGGCCAGGCCCCTTACAGTTCACATAAATGGGATGCCTCGAATGGGCAGCCCTTGGCCATGGGCTGGGGTACCCTTCTACCCCCAGCAGCCTCTCGGAGGTACAACAAGCATAGGCTTGTTCACCAAACCTGAGGCAGGGACGTCCCTGTCAGAAAAAAAAATCTCTTTCAACCCCATAATCTAGAACTCAGGCCACTGGTCCCGAGGAGTGAATGATGTAGAAATGCCCTCCTTTAATGGGCCACCTGGGCCCAGCAGATGAGCAGGCACCTTGGGGCCACCTGTGCTGCCTCCTGCACTCAGTGGGTGGGTGTGAGGTTCTGAAGGAGGGTGCAGGCTGCTAGGGAACACACCTAAGGGGATCCAGTGAAGGAGATCTACAGAGGGCTCATGTCAGACTCAAGGTCAGTCAAGACTCCAATCAGTTCAGTGGGAAAAAGAAAATGGATTCAGTAGTCCACAGTTCAAATACAAAAAAAAAAAAAAATTGCAACAGCCAGGCCCCTGGAGCCATGTTTTTCTCCTCACCACGTAAGCAGAGTCTAGGTGGAGAAGCCACTGGGCACCAACCTGTGCGGCACACAGGTCCTCCAGCCTCACTCAGCCCCGTCACAAAGAGGCAGGGAGGCCCTCATGCTCTGGTCAGCACAGGCTCCAGTCCCTGCTGGCCCTGTTGGAGCCAAATGCAGCCCAACTTCCCAGAGATCACACTGGAAAGCTGCCATGTTCAAGAGCACTGGCTGTTCAGTTGTGTGTGTGGGGGGCGCACCCAAGGAATGAGACTGTACCTAAAGGTAAGACCCCTAGGTGCCCCCATCAGTTTGGTCCAAGAAGGAGCTTTCTAACATCAGATCCCTCCTAGGACAATGGCCAGCCCCAGGTGGGAAGTTCCCCAGTGGCTGGCGCTGAAGCAGCCCAGTCTGCAGGGATTCTGAAGAGTGGACTTGGGCTACTCAGGGTCTGGACACTCTCAAAACCTTGTCCAAGCTGAGGCTCCTAATTTTTGCCACCAGCAAGGGCTAATTTCACAGATGAGACCCAAACTGTGGGCTCCTCAAGGGAATTCCACAGCGCACACCTCAGCCAGCTTCTGTGGGGTCACCAGGTCGGTGTGCTCCACCCCAAGGGTAACGGAGCTACCTCTAGACCCCAAACGAGACTTGTCCCCACCCGAGACTTTGCTTTCTCCAGGATGACAGGCCTGTCTTCTTACCCTGCTTCCCTGAGGATGACCCTGGAGGCTAAGGCACCTGCCCTGGTGACAGAGCAGCCACCTGTTTCTTCTGCAAAACCAGGTGTGGCGCTGCTTCTGTGATCATTCTTTTCTACTTTCCAGTGTCTGTCCACTCACAAGACTCCACCCAGACTCCTTCCCAGGAAGGGCAGCTCTAGGCAGCACCCAGGGTAAGGAAGAGGGAGAAGGGGACCTGCGGGTGGGAGCTCACTGTGGGGCCCTGGGATCTGCAGCTCCTCACTGGCTTAGAAGTGGCTACATCCTGTTGTGGAGCTGGGGAAGCCTGGCTCATCCGCAAAGGTGCAAGGGTGCTTCCGATGGACCCCCGGGGCCAAGGTTGGTTATGGCATCCAGGATGAGGATGGGTGGCATGCCCTGGACTCCTGCTGAGGTGGCTCCTCACAGGTCAAGGTCAAGGTCAAGGTCAGGTGTAGGTTGTTAGGAGAGCATCATCTTTACAGAGCTCCTTGGCTGTCCCCAATGCAGGGGGAATAGGCCTGTGGGCACCGAAAACCACTTTGGTTGCTGTGGCAGGAGGTGGCAGAGAAAGGTGGCTCCCTGTGCTTCCCCAGAGAGGAAGAGAAAGGCTGCCAGGATTCCTCCAACAGACCAAAGAGCAAAATACAAGGAAACTGATGGGATGCAGAGATGCAGGAGGGATCATTCTTTCTCTAGGAAAATAAATCATCTTTCCAATTTAGTTATGAATTCTCTAGAATGTGCTTTGTCCTTTAACCCTACCTAACCTGTCCCTGGCAGCTGTCACCATTTGGAGACAATGGCCAGGGACCTAGAACGGGGAGGGGGTTTTCTTTGTGGGCAGAGGTGGCATAAAGACAACATCATCGGAGTCATCAGAGTTGATGTCATCCAGGGCTGGGGGCTTCACGGGCTGCAGGTCCATGGAGGAGGACCCAACTGAAAAAAAGAGGAGTGAGGTCAGCCACGCCAAGTCACAAGTGGCTCTCTGCTTAGGGCTGCCAGCCAGCATGGACACACTACACCACCAGCACCTCCTGGCAGGCAAGCCCAAGGTCCTTCCCAGGAGGAGGGAGCCAAAGGCCAAGTACACACTGCCAGAAAGCCCTCTCTTACTTCCCAGCTCCGAATCCTCAACTTGAAACATTTGTGAAAGGAACTGGACCCTCCGTGGGGGCCAGCCCTGGTGTAGACAGGGCTAACAGCCACCTGGGAGAGAACCAGGTTCCTGGCTCAAGGTGTGGCTTCGGGATGAGGCAAAGGGGCACTGGTGACTGTGAGCGCCCCATGTAAACACTTCAAATCCTTATTCTCTGCTGGAAAGAGGCGCCACCTCCAGGCTGAGTGGGGACAGACAGGACGGAGGGCTGCCACTGAGGAAGGGGCGGTTCCCACCACAGCAGAGCCCGGATGCTCCTCAGAAAAGAGCCTTACTCTCACTACTACTAAAAAGGGACCAGCCGCTGTCTTGAGATTTAGGAACAGGGGAGTTTAAGCAACCACGAGCAGATACCAGAACTGTGGCAGATTTTTTTTTTTCCTGCAACTTTCAAGAAATTAATATGAAAGTGAAAAATTATGAAGTTAAAAACATCCATTTTCAAGGTTATTTTCATCTTTTTTTTTTTTAAACACCATCAGGTCAAACAAAGGCTTGACTTATACTTCACACAGACCCGTGGCCTTAGGCCAGTGGCAGCGGAGCACCTGGACACGACCTGAGATCACACTCTCAGGCAGGTGGGTGAATCTGCCTCTTCAACTTCACTTACATTTAGCAAGAGGAGGAAAGGGCAGCACCAATGAACACTTCAGCCCTGATCAAATAATCTAAAGGTCGCCAAACACCAGGTCTGAGAATCAGCGTAAAACTGGGCTTTGAGAGAACAATTTAAAGCTTTTTAGGCGCAGAGGGTTACAAGCAGGCTGCTGGCCTTTCAGGCTTCGGTGCCTGCATGTCGCTCCTGAAAATCCCGGGGCTGCTGATCTTTGCTCACTCAGCTTAGCAGATGCAAGTTTTGGAGAGAATGTCAAAGTCCAAAGTGCTCCAGCTCTAACAAAGCCACGGAAAAATGGCTCCAGTGGGTGAAAGGCAACTGCAGATATGTTTCCAGGCTGAACGTGGAGTGAGATTCTCAGCTGGGTAGCAGCTATGTCCTGTCCCCTCCGAGACATGCCTCCTAATGTGCTTCCCTCCCTAATGTGTCCCTGGGGAGGGAAGGGGCATGCCTACCCAGAAAGAGATGGCCGGCTAAGAGCACACAGGCCACCAGGCCTGGGAAGGCTCCGATTTATGGCCTTATCCTTAAGTGCGACTATTCTGTCATCAGAGAACGAGGGTGACCGCGTGGGAAGGTACAACCTCACCTGCCATCAGCCCTCACACTTACCGGCGTGGGGCTGAGCGCCTGCGGGCTCCTCTGGCTCATCCTCTGCAACCTCCTCACCGCTCACTTGGCTCTTCTCACCTGAAGAGGCAAATTGGATCCACTGCACATAAGGCACTGCGTCCTGTCACCGACTGGTGACCCGTGCCTGTTTCTACCTTGTCATAGCAAGTGCCTACTCTTTTCCACCCACCCTTCCTGGTTCCACCGGAGGCCTAGGAGCTAAGTGCCACGACTTCCCTGTGTGAGGGTGTCCGGGGGACACAGGACCCAGCAGGCTGTGCTCACAGTTAAGCTTTGGACTCCACTTCCCTGCTGGTGATGGCCCCCAGCCTCCCACTGCCTTGTCACTCCCGCCAGCTCTCCAGCGGTAGAGGCTGCCACTGTAAGCAGTTGCTGCAGGTCTGCACTGAGCGTGGGGCAGGACTCAGGCTCGTCGATGTGGGGGCTGAGAGGGATTTCCCAGCCGTCTCTGCACCACTGTCCACTCTGCACATGAGAAAGTCCGGGGCCTGTAGGGGTCATCCTCAGGGTGGGCGGAGCAGGGGCACAACAAATAAACAAACAGAACAGACAAGGAGGGAAACCCCCTAACTCAGGCTGTAGCTGAGGAGAACGAGGACACAAAGCTGGGCACGCAGAGTGGACATGTGGTCAGCAGAGCTGTGAGCAAGGAGCTCCTGTGAGCAAGTGCCCCGCCAGGGAGGACACTGGAAGAGGGTCTTCCTGGTTTCCGGGGTGGTAGCCACCATGTGACAGCCTCCCTTGCCTCCTCACCTGCCCAAGCTGCCTACAAGGTGGCTACTCTTTTGGCTTAACCCCTGGAGGGCCCGCGGCCCCTTGTATCTTTACCAGGAGAAGCCGTCCGGGAGGGTGGGGAGGTCTCTGGGTGCGTGGCTGGAGCAGCTCTGCTAGGTGCGGAGGTGGCTGTCCTTTCACCGCCGGAGCTGGAAGACAGAAAGACCTGGGCCTGGACAGTGCTCACCAACTTGCCCGGGCAGTTGTCCCACCATATGGACACTGTGCTCTGGCCATGCCCAGGGCCCTGAAGAGCCTCAAACGTCCTCAGGCCCACACCGAGGTCAGGCCGTGCAGGTTTATAAGCTGACTGCAGCCATCTTCCTGCCCCCTCTGTCTCTGGTTCCCAGTGAACATGACCACAACACACAGCCGCCCACCTCCTGGTCTGGCTGACGGCCCCGGGGTGGTGGCCAACCTAAGCCAAGCCCTTGGCACGTCCTACACCACGTGGTTGCAAACTGAGACTCAGACTTGTCTGGCTCTCCTTTGTGGAGAGAAGCTGCACACTCAAAAGCAATGGATAGCTGCCATTTTCTGCCACGCAGCACAGGGTCCGAGGAGGAGAATGATTGTGACTACAGGGTGGGGCAGGGGAGCAGCACGCCTGCCTGGGGTCCCAGACCCTTCACACTCTGCAAACACCACCTTTGTGAGCTGACCAAAATGGGCGCTCTAGCAGGGATGCAGGGACCCAGTCTGTCCTGTGTGGACGGGTGGCTGCGGGAGGGTCCTGGCAACACCTGTATCTTGCTGAACTCTGGGATCATGTTACGTTTTTCTTTAAAAAGGGATGGTGTGTTAGCCCAGGCTGACAACCGTTTGCCAACTGATGGTTGCCCTGCCAAGGTGGCATGGACCCCTTCATCTTGTTTCCACCCAGCACCAAGATGCACCTCTAGGAAGCCCTCCTGCAGAGGGCCAGATCCTGTGGCCCGCGCCATGGCTGTGAGGAATTTCCCAGAAGGTCTACCTCTTGCCATGGCTACAGGCCAGGACCTGGCTCGCAGACAGCAGGACTGCACCAGCTCACTGCCATGCCCCTGCACTGGGCTTCCCCCGTGACACAGCACGGCTGCGTACCTTGACCCCCACTCACCTGGTGAGCTTGGCCCGAGCCAGGTGTCCCCGGAGTACAGACTGGATGGTGGCGATGGCCTCCTCCTGCCCTGAGCTGCTCTCAGCCTGGGTCCTGGGGCTTGGGACACAGGGCGTGGACAAGCTCTGCAGTACGATAACAGCAGGGAGAGAACAGTTTGGCAAGCCCTGCCTGCATGGCTCTGTGCGCAGCAACCAAGCATGGGGGGGCTGAACAAGTGCCTTCTCAGGTGTCCCCCATTATTGCTGTCCTAATCAGATTCCTGCTTGTAGGGTTTTTGAAACTCTGGAGATTCTTAAATAAACATCTTCTTTGCTGAGGAGGGGGCCGACAGGGGAGCATAAACCTGTACTAGCACCTGGCTTCACTGCGAGGCAAATGTGCCACTTGAGTCTCCAGACCTCAGACAATCTGGCCTCTAAGGTGGAGTCCACCGGAGCCAGCACCAGAGGTGCCACAGCTTGGGCTCACAGGCTGGAGTGTGGGGCACACCCACCCGGCACGGCAAGACAGCGGGACAGAGCCCTGAGTGAGCTTTCCTTGGCTGATGAAGCACGAGAGAGGAGGCGATGGAGAGAACTGGGCCTGTGTCCCACCACCTGGATGTTACCTGCTCTGGAACGCCCGGCAGACCTGGAGATTCTGAACCACAGGATTTGCTCAGTAACAGCTTTGTTCGGGCTAGATGTCCCCTGAAAACTGCCTGGAGCAAAGTGGCCGCCTGTCAGGGAAAAAAGGAGGGAGAGGAAAACTTAAATTTCCCTGGAAGATGGTGGGGAGGGTAAGGAAGATTCTAGAAGGAAAAGTTGTACGGGCAGAGGAAACGCCTTCCTGTACTACTTGTGTAACCGAAAGAGCAGCTCAGAGTCTTCTCCCTCACTCTCCCTCACCACCCTTCTACCCGGAAGAAAAGGCTCAAGCGCCTCACGCTGCAGGGGACAGAACCACTGTGGCACACGCACAAGCCAGATGCTAGGTGGACCCCGCGGCTGCGGCATCAGCCCATGCTTCACACAGACGCGTTTTCAGGATGGGAGAGTTTACTGTTTCATCTATATTATAGGCATCTTCTAAAAACCACAAAGATCTCCAGAACAATCGCAAGGGACCTATTTATCCTTTGGCCTCAAAACTAGTGATTTTCTTAAGAGTGAGCACAGGTGTTCCCAAGGCCCAAGTTGAGGCCCTGCAGTTTTGGGGAAGCACTGGGTTTCCAATGACCCTGCCTCTTGCCTGGTTGAAACTCTCCCGTGTGGCAGAGCACTAGCTGCTCTCAGAACACTTAGGAGAATGACAAGCCAGTGTGAGAGGTCCAGAAGCTCTGTAATGACTGTCAGGACAAGACAAGCCCTTTTGCTTTTTCTTGAAGGCGAGGTGACGGAAACGTCATACACACAGACTAAGGTGCGAGTATGCAAGGGAAGGGGAGAGGCCACCAGTTATGAAGGATAAATAACCCGCTGAAGTACAGCAACCACCCAGCCGACCCAGGAGCCTCACAAGAAGTACTGCCGGTTGTCAGGTGACTGCACTGGCTGTAAATGAAGCCATCCAAAGACTGAGGGAAGGCACGGGAGGATCCTCTGTGCCCTAAGCTTGCATGTGGTGACACAGCCCTTGCAGTGACACTATAAAGTGGGTCTCATCGTCATCTTACTTCAGAGACAGCACATGCTCAGCCTCCCGCGGGGTCTCTGGATCCTTCCCTTGCTCATTCATTAAAAACACACTCACTGAATCCTTCCACACACAGCTTTCAGGGACATCTAGTATGCGAAAAGCTGTTATCCAGCAAAAGGTGGTTCACAATCTCAGGCCCTGTTCTAGGAACTAGGGATCCAGTGGTGGACAGACAGGAGGGCCCTACCTGCAGGGAGCTAGCGTCCTAGGGGAAGTGTCACTGCCACATGCTGTGAGAAAGTTAACCCAGGGCATGGGGCGGGAGTGATGGGTGTGGGCACTCAGGAAGGGGCTCTGAGGACCTGCCTTTCTAGCCCAGTTCTGAAAAAAGTGAGGGGCAAGACTGAGGGTGGGGGGAGGCTCCTTCCTGGCAGAGGGCGCAGCATACAGGGCCCCTGTGGCAGCAATGTGCCAGACTCAAGGTGCGCCGGAGGACACCAGGCTAGAGGGCTGGCGCATGGTCAGCATGCAGGTTGGTAGGAACAACTCTGGACTTTTCTAAGTGAGACAGGAAGATAAGGCATGGTACTAGCTGACATTCTAAAACATTTGTCTGGCTGCTACAAGGGATTAAATCATGGGGGGCGGAGGGGAAACCATTGCTACAGCCTAGGGGTCTGGGCTATGGCAGAAGCTGCAGACCAGGGAGAAGAGGCCGAGTTTTGTTCACTTCGCAGGCAGCTTTAGGTTTGGCTGGATCGGAGGTAGGATGCTGGGGAAAGGGGGGGACAAGAGCTTAATGCCTTTGTCCCAGGCAAGCAGGTATATGGTGGGCATCGTGTCTGAAGATGAGCAGTGCCGGGGGAAGAGCAGGTCTGGAGGTGAAAAGTGAGAGAGTTCCACAATAACCTGAGGTGGTGGAAACCAGGCCTGCGGGGGGCGGGGGGGGGGGCCCTGGGGTGGGGGAGGAGCCTGCTGGCTGGGAGGAGGTGGGACTCTGCAGGGTCCTGCTGCCCTTGGGAGCTGGAGGAGGGTCAAGGCAGAAACACTGCAGACCCTGAGATGAGAAGTACCACCAAGAAGAAACCCAAGCACCAAAGGCTCAAGGAGATCAAGTCTCAGGCTGATCCCTGGGAAAGACCCACTCTGGGTTGAGCAGCTGGTGACTGCTAGACAGGGACAAGTGGGTTCTAAAAGGGAGGTGAGCAACTGCAGAGCTGGAGTTTGGGGAGGCAACGAATGAAGACAACAGTTAGAGGGGATCAGGCCAGGGAGCACTTCCCATGTCTGCATCCTGATGGAACCAAGCCGCACAGGAGGGGACTGATGGGCATGGGGCCCCGGCTGCTGCCAGAAGTGAGCCCCTGAGCCCCTTCCAGCACCCGGGGAGCTGGTGGCTTTCAGTAGGAGCCTGGAGCCTGGTAGTGGGAGGAGGATGAGGAAGGGCTCTTGTGTTCTTATATTTTGAAGTTTTTAAAAAATTTGTAAAGTACACATCAAGGGTACAAGGCAGTGGCATTAACTCCACACACTGTTGTGTGACCACTGCCTTATCACTCTAGATCTTCTCCCTCATCCCACATGGAAATCCTGGGCTGTCAGCCATCACTTCCCATCCCCTGCTGCCCCTGGCCCTGGCAGCCAATGACCCACTTTCTGTCTCCTTGGGTTACCTGTTCTGGACATTTCTTGTCACACAACGTGTGGCCTGGCTTCTGACTGAGCTCATGTTCCTGGTGTGCTAGGTTGCACGGCGTCATATCCCCACCAGCAGAGCACCAGGCCTCCACCCTCCCACCAGGGCTTCTTGTTGTCTAGTTTTTTGACTGTGGCTGTCCTAGGGGTGGAGGTGGCCCTGCTGTAGCTGAAGGACTCCTGACAACTTCTGTTTCTCAGTGGGATCAGAAGCAAGATGATCAGCTGAGAGTGGGGGCAGAGCTGGAGACAGCTACAGAGTACAACATGGGGGTTTCATGGACTCGGGGTGAACTGACGAGGGGGCCCTGGGCAGTGCTGAAGGCTACCTGGCCGGGGTCACGTCATGTGCTTTCCTCCAGTCGTTCAGGGGGGCAAGGGCAGAGAAGGCAGGACGAGGACTCCCCAGGGAAGGGGTCTACAGGAAAGTACGATGACCCTGAACCACAAAACAAGGCAGTCAAGGCATAAGCAGGGTGCGGCAGGCCAGGAAGGGGGGGCAGCCAGCGCGTCAAAGACCACAGGGCAAGGGGAAGGCAGGGCCTCAGAATTGTAGGTACTGTGGGAGTAACAGAAGACAGGAGCAAAGCCAGACAGTGACATTTGAAATGGCCATCACAGCTGGTAAGGACAGGGGAATGGCTATGGAGTGGGGCTGGCCAGGAGGCAAGGATGGCACCATATGAATAAGTGGGTTGAGGATGGAGAGGCCAGGAATTGGGTACTGATGTGGCACTTGGTGTCCATGGCTGAGGACAAGAAGGGACCTTCCTAAATGTGGAGTGGCAGGCCACTCTGGCAGTCCAGCACCTGCTAGCAAGGGGAGCTCCTGCCACAAGGACCTGGACCTGAACTGTCCACCTGAAGCCTCGGGTGCCAAGCCTGCAGCATGCCCAGGGTGCTACTGCAGATACGACGCCAGGAAGTCTGGGAGGGTCCCACTGCTATTAGGAGCCCCCCACTGAGGCCTGCACTTCGCAGGGCACAGCCCTGAACACAGCATCAGCTCTCTGGCAAGGGTGCCTTTCCAGAATGTGGGTTGCGTATGGTCAGTTTTTCTGCAACCCACCCAGGCCACCTGCTGGGCTGTCTGACAGATCAGGTGAGCTAACAGGGTTTCAAGGACAGCAACTTCATAGGAAGCACAGCCCCAGGAGCCAGGCAGAGCTTTGGCTGCCTGCTGGAGCACCTGGCAGCCAGGCAGCATCAGGGCTCAAAGTCCTTGCCTGGATCACCTCATCGAACTGCTCAGCCCACAGAGTAGCAGGAAGAAGCCAGCGGGAAGTCCTGCAGCCAGCTGCCCATCCTCAGGGCTGGAGGCTGCAGCCTTCCCCGCAGCCCAGATGGAAAAACACTGCAGTCCCAGAAGGGCCAGAGAGAAGGTGGAGAGGCAGAGAGGCGGTCCAAGTCTTGAACAAGGTAAAGGTTTATTTTTCTCAGTGCATTACTAAAAAGGGGTTGGTGGCTCAGACCCTCACTGCTCTCGAAGGTTCTTAACATACCCCATCTTATTGCTGACCTCCCGTCTAGCTTCTTCTCACTGCTCTGTTAGCCACATGGACATCAAGCTCCTCGTCCCTGACAGCTCTCCTGCCAATGGTGCCCCTTTTGTCCCTTTTCCCCTGGTCCCTCGTCACAGGGACCCTCCTGGGCTATAGGTTGGCAGTCCTGACCCTTGCCCTGTCCCGAGTTCTACCTCAGCTCGTCAGATTGCTTGACACAGACTGATAAGTGAAAGTGTACTGAAAGAATGAACTAATGAATGAATTTGAAAGTGTAAAATTGTTCCAATAAACACCCAATGTTTCTATTACTCAGGCATCCCAAGTCTAATGTTGGTTTGGTTTGATTTCCTGAAAACCAGGACTTGATGTGTCTTTGAGTATCCCCTTGGTTACTGTGCTCCAAAGTCAAAACAGGTTATTTCAAATTGGTGAAATTAACTTTGCTTACCTCATTCAGGACAGCCTTTTTTTTTTTCTGAAATAAAATTTAAAAAATGAATTAACATGAGAAGGATGAATTCCTTACAATAGTTTCCATCCTTAATCTTGCTCTGCTCTGAGTCAATAAGAGCTGAAAATAGTCACTTCTGACCTTAATGGCTGAGTCGGCAAGTCCAGCCCTGTACAGGAAGGCACAGGAGCCAGATCAAAGGGCTCCCAGGGCTAATTCAGGGCCATTTGAATGATAAACAGAATAATGTCTATAATTATTTTTTTTAAAAGACTGAAAAAATAAAGGGTGTTGAGTCCATAGTTACATTCCTCCCAACCCTGAGAGGGAAACAGACAGGGAGAGTCACTTGATCTGCTGAAGGTGACCATCAAAACAACATCTTACTCTGAAACTGGCATTTCCTTAATACTTGAAGGGAAATAACTAGGGACTGTGCTGTCTGCTTAGGAGGACCGGGAATAGGGGAACTCAGGGCAGTGCAGGGGTCCAGCTGCCATCCGCTAGGCCCAGAGAGTCCCTGCAAGTAGACCTGAAGAAAGGAGAGAAGGGGCATCTCGGGCAGGAAAGCTGGCAAGAGCTAGGAACCGCAGGTCCCCCGTGTGGCTGGTGGGGAGCGTGGGAGGAAGCATGGAAGGCAGGTCCGTGCACCGAAGAGGAAAACCCTGCTTTACAAAGTAGAAGGATGAGAGTGGGAAGACACTGCTCTTGGAAATCATCTGACAGGAATCAACACAGTCTTTCCAGTAGAACTTCTCACTTAGGAAATAGAGGGAGGGAGGAACAAATTAAACAACACCATGGGAAGCAATCAGATCTGAGATGTGGAACAGCCGATGAGGCACTGGGGCCTGTACTCTTCAAAAAGAAAATGTCTTTAAAAAGAAAGAGAAGGCCTGAGACCTAACCAACCAGTGAGGAGCCCAATCCAACCATGCCTGGATCTCAGCTTGAAACTGACAGCTAGGAATGGCTCCTGGCACATTTAGGGAATCTGAATATGAAGGACCCAACACAGAAAATTATTGTTATATTCTTAGGTGCAATAATGGTATTGTGTGCCAGGCACAGAGGCACATGCCTGTAATCCCGGTGGCTCAGGAGGCTGAGGCAGGAGGATAACAAGTTCAAAGCCAATCTCAGCAAAAGCGAGGTGCTAAGCAACTCAGTAAGACCCTGTCTCTAAATAAAATACGAAACAGCACTGGGGATATGGCTCAGTGGTTGAGTGCCCTAGAGTTCAATCCCCAGTACTCACCCTCCTCAAAAAAAGATAATGGCATTGTGGTTAAGTAGGAAAATATCCTTCTTAGAAGATATGTGCTAATGTTTCACATCTGAAGCTTTCTCTCAAGTGTACCTGGGGAAAATATTATATATATATAAAAATATATGGCTGAGTATTAACTACCCTTGAATCCAGGTGCTGGCAAGATGAGTCCAGTATACTGTTGAATATTGTAAGTTCTTTTCACTTTTCCATAAGTTTTGAAAAGTCTTAATAATAAAAGCTGGGAAGAAAAAAAGATTTCAAGAGGCTTCAATGGCCTACTAGAACCAAGGTCTTGTGAGATGCAGGCAAGGACAGAAGGTCAATTTGTTTGTTCAATTGGGGGAAAGGTGATAACTTATTTTTAACACTAGGTAGACCTTTTGGAGCACCTAAGCTCACCTGAGGACACCAATGCCTCTTAAGAACTGCAGTCTCAGTGGTAGGGACCCCTGAAGAGCCCCCCAGGTGCTCAGGAGAGAGCGCTTTTCCTCCCTCACCCAAGGGGCAGAGAGGAATTTCACAGCCTGTTATGGATGGGCTGTCTGCAGAGCTGCCTATCAATGAAGACCCTCCGTATTCCCGATAAGATGGACCACTCCTGCAGGCGCTTCCTCCCAGGGCGCCCCTGAGGAGGGCGGGCTGTGGGTAAGTTCAATTCTCCACATTATTTGTGTCCATGAACTGAAGCGCTCCTGAGCTCCTGGATGCAGTGCCCAGGGCTGGCAGGGGTACATTTCCGGGATGTGGCTGCATGCACAGCTTTTTGCAACCCACCCAGGCCACCTGCTGGATTGTATGACAAACCAGGTGAGCTAACAGGGTTCCAGGACCCACCATTGCCTTGTTTCTGTGTAGCAAAAAAATGGAATCTGTTTACCCTCCAAGGAGTAGCCACAGTGATCTTCCTGGAGACTCCCCTCCCCCTTCGCCCTTCCTGTGCCTCTTCCTACACATCAATTGCACCAGCCTGGTGCCCGGCACAGAGGCCAGTGCCAGTTGACAGATCTCATGAACAACTGAACACTTTCTGCAGTTGGGCAAACAGCTGGGAGCACGAGCGCCAGGCCCTCTGGGGAGAGCTCACCTTGTGTCTGTGGGCCTTCCAGCTGGCCTGCAGCGTCCGGGCAGCAGCCTCTCTCCTTCCATCAGAGCAGGGGATGGGGGACAGGGGCTGAGGGCAGCCCTCCGGCCCAGAATCCACTTCAGAGTCTTGCTGAGAGTGCCTGTTGCTGGGAGGGGGTGTGCAGAGCTCTCCGCAGGCCTACAGGAAATGGAAGGTGGACGGGCTGGTGCAGGGAAGATCTTGTAAGGACCTGGCAGGACATCACATGGCAGACGGCAGGCCGCACTTACGGATGAATCTTATTCGTTCTGAGGAGGACCTGTTCCCGTACTGCCCACCACACCCTCGACAGATGCCTGGTAAGCATGTGGGCCCTGGACTCGTCTGGAAGCAATCTCCTAGGAGGAGTCTATCCTGCCACTGCAGCATCTGCAGGGAGCTCACCCACAGATGGCCACACACTTTCCAATAGCCATCTGTGACTTGAGAAGCACCCCTTTCAGGGCTGGAGTGTGGCTCAGTGGCAATGCTGGCCTAGCAAGGGCAAGCCCCTGAGCTCAATCCCTAGCACTGCGGGGGGAAATTACCTAGCTTTCTGCAGTTCTTTTTTGGATATTTTTGAAGTTGAATATTATATTTTGACAATGATGTTTCTGGGATTACAGGTAAGATATTTCTAGCAAGGCTTTTGATACAAAGAAACAGGAATTGCTATTGTGACCATTAAAATACCACTGATTTCTATCATGTATGGGTCCAATTTATTATCCACAAGGACAATTCTCAATAAAAATTAAAATACTGAACTATTTCTCTGACATCTAAAGCTCAGTGGAGAAGCCCATCCGTGCAGAAGGCCCTCACAGAGAGATGTGAGCTTCCGGCCATGCACGTGCAGCCGAGATGCCTGGTGCATGCATGTGGCCTGGTGCATGGCCCAACAGAATCAGCAGGCCACTAGGTATAGAAACCAAGCCTTTTACTTTCTGTATTATATGATGCTGTGACATTTGGGCCTGCTGACCCTGGAGAGAGGAGCCACTTCCTAGGGAAGAAGGACTTCCCTGTGAGAAACTTTTCATATGCAACTCACCAAGCCCAGCCCACACCACCACCTAGCTCCCTTGTGTGACCCTCATGCACCAAGTTAGTGTTCCCTGCCCCCTAGCATCCAGGGCCAGGTACCCACGAGAATTGTTCAATCCAGCCAATCCTCACCTGCCCTTGCCTCACCTGGTCCTGCCTAGAGCAAAGGCCCTGGGCCATACTTTACTGCTGCCTCTTGCCTGTCCCCTGCGCCCCTATGCATCCCCATGTGGCACGCCTGCTCCCGTTTCTAGGGGTGTGTGAGGGTGGACCTCTGTGACAGTCATTCATGTCTGGGGGTCTCACCGTGCCTGACCAGACAAATCCCGTACATCAGCATAGCCACCCATCACTGGGCTCTCTGGGTGTGAGTCTCGTCACCTGGGTCCACATGCTGCCACCTAGCTCTAGTGTTCTGAGTTGTCCCCTGAAAGGCCTCATGGCCTCCCTTGACCCTGACTCATTCTCAGACCCTCATTCCAATCAAGTGAGGTGCAAGTCTGTCACATATTTCATGCCAATGTGACCAAAAGGTAAAATCAGCCACTTAGAAGATGGAGGAACAATGACTCCAACAACTCTGGGCAGATGGCTAAAACAAAAATGGAGTTTGATATGCATATAAATTTGGTGAGGCACTGCTTTGTTTTAACCTACAATTAACCATTCTCCCAGAATGGCTGGGAGCAGACACCCTTACTCAGAACAACACTGACCTTCCAGTTAATGCCACTCTCTTCCTTTTCTTTAAAATGGATTTTTTTTTTTCTGATACTGGGGATTAAACCCAAAGCATCATACATGCTAGATAAGTACTTTACCACTGAGCTACACCCCCAGCCCTTGTAAAACCTTATTTTGAGGCTGGCCTCAAACTTGTGATCCTCTGGTGTCAGCTTCTCGATGAACTGGGATTACAGGCAAGCACCACCACACTTAGCCAAAACGAAATGCTTTAATAAGCAGGAAAGAAGCAAAGCTAATTATGCTTATGAAGAAAAACCCAGCCAGGGGTGGTAGCACATGCCTATAATCCCAGTGGATCGGGAGGCTAAGAAAGGAGGATCATGAGTTCAAAGCCAACCTCAGCAACTTAGTGAGACCCTGTTTCAAAATAAAAAATTTAAAAAAGGGCTGGGAGGTGGCTCAGTGGTTAAGTGCCCCTAGGTTCAATCCCTGGTACCAAAAAAGAAAAATTCAGACAAAAGAAAGGGAAGAAGTGCTTATAACTCCACCGGAGTAAAAGCTAATTCTGGCAGTACTTTCAGACATACTTCTAAGTAAAATTTTTTTTTTTCAGTAAAAAGAAATCTATGTATCTACATATATATGCTTTTGGGGGTTGTTTCCATCAAACAGGCCATAGGCATCTCTCATGTCATAACTGAAGACCCACTTTATTCTTTGTACTGACTGCTCAATACTGCACCGATGGGGACACGGCCAGCTCACGAATGAGCAACACACCGTGCTCTTGAGTTTGCTGCGGCTCCTCACTATTGCAGAATGGACTGCAGCCAGCACCCGTCACCGCCTCTCTGCAGACTACAGTGATGCCTTCTGTGGCCCCAGTCTCGGCGAGGACAATGGGAAGCCTGGGATCCTCAATGTGCTCCTGTCATGTGCAGGAACACAAATCTCAAGGTCATATAAGAAGATGCCAGAACAAAAACATTGAACGAAATTTTGACACCAAGTGAAGTCTCCTAAAGCCTGAGCTGAGAGAGGTGTGGTAACAGATTAAGGATATAATTCCTGGAGAAAAAGAACTTCTCTGCCATCTTACTGGTGTGGCCTCTCTGTGCTGAACAGAGTTAGTGGAAAATTTAAATCCCAATTACTTGGAAGCAACAGACCCTGCAGTACAGATCTCAAAGCAAGCAGGTGGCCCTGGAGTCTGAAGCTGGATCTTTCTGAGGTGTCAACACATGAGTCAGGAGGGACAAGCAATTTATACCAAGGCCTCCTTTCCTGATTTATCTGTGTCTAGTTATCGTGCAGAGAGGAAACTGGTGCTATTGGTCTTCTGTGTTCAACCAAGACACTAATAACACAAGAGCACACACTTGGTTTTCTCCATTTTGAGGATTTACAGAAACCCTGAGCAGGCCAGAGACAGAGAGGTGCACACACAAAGCCTCTTTCCGTCCCCACAGTCTGCGGGAAAGGGGTTCCTCCCTAAGGGATGTATGACTTTGAAAGTTAACAACGGGCAGAAACCCTGATGTTTCTTTATTGCTGAGCACCTCTCGGGGGTCAGGGCTACAGAAGTAGCCAAGTAACAAATCAGTTAGTCCTGTAGCCTCCCTGGTCCCCAAGGGCACTTTACTTGCAGAAGAGGTTTCAGTGACATCCTGTGCATGACACAGATCAGAGAGGCACTCAAGCCCAGCATCACACACAATGCCCTAGGTATACCACCAGACAAGAATGAGAGTCTAGGAGAACACTCAGTAGAAGCCTGTGTCCCTTGGGGTGGGCAGTGTGGCAATCAGATGAGTGGATGAACCATGAGGGTGCCCAGAGAGTGGGAAGGGACAATGACTCTGTGTTACTTAGAACATTATCCAGAGCACTGAAAAAACCTCCACAAATGCATGCCCTTGGGGACAGCACAAATCCACATGCTCTGTCTGAGCAGCAGCAATGTTTTCACAAAGGACTGAGATGGACTCTCGCTGTTCACGCAGCACACACACTGCCGGTAGGGTGTGCCACAGTCACGGTTGCTGCACAGCCTGCCTGGGCCCGGCTGGCACACACGCAAAGAACCACGGGCTTCCCCCAGCTGGCAGTGCTGTGGTGTCTGGATTTGTAACTGAGCAGCTTCTCCAAACTCCCTTTCAGTTTGCCTTCTGCTCTTGAGCTGGCTTTGAATGAAAAGACCCTAAAATTAGAATCCAGCTAAGTAAACCAGCCTTGGAAGAGGAAAGCCAGTCCAGATCAAAACCAAACAAAAGCCCCTTTATGTTCCACAACCAGCAGGTGACAGTCCTGCAGGCCCATCCTCCCGGAGGCCAAGGGAACCGCCACCTGCCAGCCTCTCGCAGCTGACACTGGTCCTGCTGCAGCAGGTCTGGGGCATTCCAGGCCCTGCTCAGGTCTGTGGCAGGCAGAAGAAGGGTCACCAGAAGGGACTGCAGAAGAGGCTGCAACCTGGGCTCGTTTTGGACCCTTCTAAATCACACTGGCTTCATCCACCACACATTCACATGACAAGCCCTCTGGAGCAAACAGTGGCCACGGGATTTTAACACCTAAGTTGTTCCCTTTTAGACTGAGTCAGACCACACCTGCCATCTCAAGAATCCATGCATTGGGAAAAGATTCATAAGGGGGTAGAAGTGCAGGTAGCCCGGGGCTAACAGGGACAGAGCCACCTAGCTGACCCCTGGGTCAGGGAAGGGCAGGTGACCCTCACATGCCTGCCTCAGCCACAGCTGTCTCCTTGTATCCATCTAAATGGGCAAAGAGGGTCAGTGGCCAGGTCCTCACCACACTGTCACTCAGCACCACATGAGCCAGAGATCAGGGATAGAAGGGAAGAGGCCTGGGTCCCCCAGAGAGTGCAGCATATTTTGGACTTGCCTTTTGGGCCTCTGCAGCCTCCTTGATATAGTCAGAGAGCCCCTGCTACAGAGCTGAACTTGCCGCATGCTTGAGGTCTGGAAGATCTCTCACCAGCCCAAATGTCCAAGACCCAACACCAGTCTGAGAGGTTAATCCACTGACCAGGGGTCAACCATAGCCCCTAACTTCTGTACACACCACCCACATCACAGACATTGACTAACAGAGGTAGGACGGCCAACATCACAGTCAGGAAAGGCTCTGGGCGTGAGGATAAGCATGTGTGTTGCTGTCAGCTGAGAGTCCCAGTGCCCAATGGGAGATGAAGCCGTACCTCGCGAGTCACTTCCATGGGAGCGCTGGGCTCCTCTTTCCTGGTTTCTTCCAGTTCTTGACACTTGTTGGTGAGTGTTTGAATTTCCTCTCTAAAGTGGAAAAAGAAAAGATGACACCTCATGAGTCACTATGTGACGAAGGGCCCCTGCACAACTCAGCAGGAAGTTCTGTGCAGAGACAGATGCTAGACAGGATATAGAGAGCCCATGGCCACCTCCCTGGTGCACCAGAAGCCCCACTGCAGGGGCTTCTAATGTGTCCCCCAAGCTGGGAGCCTTGTAGGGGTGGGGCTGGGGATCTTCAGGGTCAGCCTGATCCCCGAAGCATCGTCAGAACTCTGAAGAGTAGCCATTGCACGCAGCATGTGCGAGGCCCTGGGTTCAAGCCCCAGCACCACACACTAGAAACAAACAAGAAGAAGTCATAGCGTGAACCATGAACAGGAAGTTATAGCGTGGAGTTTTTAATAAACAATGTGAATATTTCCTTACTACAGATGCTAAAGTCAAACAACTTGCTTCTGGGCACCTGCCTTTTCAATTGAATTTTGGCTTCTGACAATCTGAGTTATATTTCTCCTGAAAAGAAAATGTTCTACTTGTTTCAATAATATGTACCTTGCTAATTATCTTCAGTGCTGAACATTCCCATTTAGATTCTAATCTAGTTTTCTTATATTTTAAAAAATTGAGCTCTTTGCTTCTTGGTTGCCATTTTCTGAGCTGCTGTCCTCCATGATTGATGTGCTGCCTCACCTTGGGCAATGGAGTTGGCCGTCTATGGACTGAGACCTCTGAAACCTGCCTGCCAAAGAAAGTTCCGCTACTCAGCACTGGAGAATACTGACTCCCACCACATTACCACCATGAGGACGTTAGACAGTCCAGAGGAGGTGTTTGGTATAGGCATGCTTGCATATCTGTGGGAGGTTGGTTCCAGGATTCCCAGGATGCCAAAATCCACAGATGCTCAAGTCCCTTAAATAAAATGGCAATATCTGCAAATAACCTGTGCATATCCTCCTGTACCTTTTCAATCATCTCTTGGTCACTTATAATATACAAATGTTCTGTAAAAAATTGAGATAAGATTTGTAATATAAAATTCATTATTTTAAAGTGTATAATGAGGTGGTTTTCAGACTATTCAGAATGACAATCATCACACTAATTCTAGAACATTCCAGGCACCCCCATAAGGACCCCATGCCTATCAGTGACCATTCCCTATTCCCTTCTGCTGTGCTCATGCAGTCCTCTCTGCTCTGTCACTGGGAGCTTCCTGTCTGACACTTTATGTAGATGGATGGCACTGCTGGGGCCTGTTCCAGGTCCCTCCAAGCTGTAGTGTGCAGTGCTCCCTTCCTGGCTCCTCCTATGTGTGGCTTGCCCTTGGGCTGCTCATCTAGCAACAGCCGGTGCAGGTATGGGCGGTTGCTTCCTGGCTCTGGTGACAGTGCTATTATGAGGAGCCTGGGAGGCAACTCCCTGTGGCAGCAGCAACGTGTGGGTTGGAGTGAGAAGCCCTGGCCCAATCCGAAGGGGCAGAAGTGGCAGAGCCATGATGCGACAGAGGCAGCACTGATGGAGAGCCTCTTCCCAGAATTTGGGTTTCTATTCCAAAGGCAAAAGAACACCTGGAAATATCTCAGGGAGAAGTATGGCCTTTGCAAAACCCTCTCTGAGGCTGTGCTGAGCCCCCACTGGGAAAGGCTGGCATGCAGAAGTGGGTGGGTCCTCTGTGAAATGTATCACCTACCGCAAAACCTGCTCATGCTCTTGCCTCTCCTGCTTGCCTTCCCTCATGCTCTCCAGCTCCTTCTCCAAGTCGGCCTTTGCTTGAAGCAGCTGCTTTACCTCCACACTGAACGAAAGAACCAGAGACATTTCCACCCTCATTAAAACCAGAGGCTGGGGCTGGGGTTGTAGCTCAGTGGTAGCATGCATGAGGCACTGGGTTCGATTCTCAGCACCACATACAAATAAATAAAAGAAAGGTCCATCAACAACTACAAAATATTTTAAAAAACAAGAGGCCATCAAGGCAGGGGGTTGGCCTCCTTCCTTAGGACAGTGGACCAGGGGTGGGAGGGTCAGGAAAGGCCCTTGATTCTAAAGATATGGTGTCAAGAGCAGCCCCGAGGGTCCTGATTAGGCACACGGATACCAGCATGTGTGAGGACTGCCAGGGGCTGGGAAGACACAGGAGTAAAGGCATATGAAGTCCTGGGGAGAGGTGCCATAGGATAGTCATGGAACACAGTCACACATGCAGCACCCTCTGGTTCACACCACAGGTGCAGGTCTGAGCCGGGGAAGGACCTGCCCTGGCCCTCACTGAGCCTGGGGATAAGGCTGCCCAGGCGCCTCCACTGAGTTTCCTGTGACCTGTGTGTGGCATGGCAGCCACAAAGTAGACTCTAGAGCAAGACATCTGCCTGAACCTCAGATCCACTGCTGTCTGTGCGACTTAACCCTTCAGGGTTCCCATGCAGAGATGCTCCCAAACTGTGTAGCAGAGCGCCTGTCGCTAAGTGTGCAGCAGAGCACCTGTCACATCATAAGGGCTCAGTCCATGGTAGCTATGGTACTCAATAGCATAACAGATAATGCCAGAAATTATTTACCTTCCAAAATGACCAGTTTAATGTAAAGACCTTTTTCTGAAATACTAATTTTTCTTTTTTTTGTACTGAAGATTGAACCCAGGGGTCTCTACTGCTGAGCTACATTTCCAGCTCTTTTTATTTTTTAATTTGAGTGAGGGTCTTGCTAAGTTGCTTAGGGTCTCACTAAGTTTCTGAGGCTGGCCTTGAACTTGCAATTCTGGCTCAGCCTCCCAGTCTGATGTTATAGGCACACGCCACCCACTGTGCCTGGCCATGAAATACCAATTTTTACAATGAACTTATCACTCACATGAATGCACCCTGAGGCCACTACTCAGGTGGAAGGAGTGGAGTGTGAGGGATTCCCTTCCACCATAAAAAACAAGGTGACTGAGCACTCAGAGAACCAGGAGGCAACAAGGAGATTCTTCTCGACTCCACTGTGCACCCAGATCCCTGGACTCATGCAATCAGAAGGCCTGGCAGCACCTGAGGCCCTGATCTCCAGTGAGCTCCCAGGGGATGAGACGCTCCCCGCTCCACAGGCCACTCACTCTAAGTTGCAAGGTCACTGAAGTCTTGCAAACCTGAGATAAACATCTCAGAAGATGGGCAGGTGAAGTCACTCATGACAGATCAGAGAAGCCACAGGTAGAATCAGGGAGACAGATGCCTAGTGCGCACGGCGGGGACTACAGACCTTGAAACATTGGTGAGACTTTGCCTCCCAACTCCCTTCCTAGGGTTGCACTGGACATTTTACAGCATTTACATCTTGTCTGATAGACAGATCATGTGCCATAAACATATTACTGAATTTCAAAACCACTGTGCCTAAGATGTAATTGAGTTTATGCAATCAATGACAGTAAATTCCTGTCCAGGGAACAATTTGGGAACTCCTCTGGAATTCAGTATAAAGAGACTCCTGCGGCACTCTCCTTGGCCTCCCCCTTTTAAGGTGGCATCTAAATGTCTTCTTTTGGCCATTCAAGCAACTTTGATTTTACAACCAAAATATAAGAAGTCCTGAGTCCTAAACAGTATTTACACAACAACCACTGTAAGCTCAGCATTTCTCCAAATTCATGACAACAGCCCTAGAAACAAGGTCCCCGTGGGAACCTACTCTTTCTCCTGCAGCTGCGCCTGCAGTGCGCTCCGCTCTGCCTTCAAGCTCTTCACTGCCCCCCGGAGGCGCTCCTGCTCCTCCGGCCGGTCCCGAGGATGCTTGTGTGCTGCGCTGTTGGAGACGGAGTGGGCCAGGGGAGTTGGTCTGTGGGATTCTGAGCTGTGCGGCTTTGCATTCTCCATTGAACTTACTTTCTGGAGGCAAAACAGGCATTTGTTAGACGTTATTGACTTTGCTTTCTAGTTAAGAACTCAGGAGACAGACGACAAGCCACAGGGACAGTCTCCAGCAGGTGGGAGCAGCTTTGCTACGTGACCTGAGTCAACCAGTCTACTGGCCCACACAGTTCCTGGAAGTCTGTGATCAAAAGGGGAGAACCTGGCCTGGATGAAGAGCCACTAGCACGACAGGAACAAGAACAAGGCAGGCAAGGTGGACACACACGGCTGGTCCTTGTGCTTGCTCAGCCCACTGCTTCCCTAGACTTTCTGAATTTCCAACCTTTCTGCTCCCAACCTTCAGCTGTGCTGCGGTCCTGTCAGGAAGGTGACCCTGAGCACGGTGTGCCCACTTCCATGCTGCCGACACCCAGCCCACAGAAGCCCCCCGCCCCCGTGTGCGTCTGCTCTGGCTGCCTGCATTTCCCAACAGCTTTATTTGTGAATACACACAACATACAGAAACTTCTTATATTTTCTACTTTGAACTTATTTGTAAACATTCCCCTCAGGGTTTGCTCTGTTTGCCAAACAGCAGAGAGCTCAAGCTCAGTATTCTGGAAGGACCCGTTCCACAGGACCCGAGGCACCCACGTGGGTTGTGAGGAAATGTTAATTGCCTAAATTTTCTGGTCAGCGGAGAGTAAATGAACAGTTTTGTGCAAATTTAAATATTAAACAAGTGGAAAGAAGTCTGGCCAGCAGCCAGCAGCTGGGTTGTGGGCGCCTCCAGGGTCACGTGCTCCGCCCTGCAGCTGCGCACAGTCTGATGACATTGCGTGGCCATCTGAAAAATGAGGGCTGTGAACGACACAACCCAGGCCTTGCCCCGAGTCCACACTGTACTGACTGCTGGACGGTCACCATTTACTTGCTCAGTGTAAGTCTGTGTCCCCAGTTGCCCCACTGCCCGTCAGGCACAGATAGGTCCTGAGCAAGGGGTGGCGTGACGCTCCTCACCTTTTCCAGCTCCGCAATACGTCTCAGCAGCCGAGGCTTGCTCCAGTCCACGTACCCTGATGGACACACAGGTCTGCTCAAAGACTGTCCCGGCACCCTTTGGCCCAACCACCCATCAGCAAAGCCACGAGGGCCCCGGTGGGCAGGTCCTGCCACCCAAGGGTCTTCTCCAGCTCTGGATGATTTCTGTTCCCTTTGGCTGTTAAGAATCACTGATACCAACATCTCCAAGTATCTTAGTGGGATGTCCTTTCCTGATTCTACACCAGTCAGTTTTTTTTTTTTTAATATTTTCTTAGTTGTCAATGGATTTTATTTTATTTATTTATATGTGATACTGAGAATCGAACTCACACATGCTAGGCAAGTGCTCTACCACTGAGCCACAACCCCAGCCCCTCAGTCAGGTTTTGACCTCACTGGTCCATTGAGATGGTCTAATGGACCCTACGGTGATTCTTAGTCCTCCTCCCACTTGCTTTCAGGCTGCCCCTGGACCCGGCTTTGCTACCTCGCCAGTGGCATCCCACCTGGCTTTGCTGGCTCTCCCTTCCCCCTCCTAACCTCCTAAACATCACTAGGGTTAGGACTCAACCCCACTCCTCCCCTCTACTCACACCCACTTGCGGCCCCACTTGGGTCCATCAGTTTGCACATCCAGTTCTCCAGCCCAGGTCTCTGCCTGGCCTACCTCTGCACACACCTCAGATCTCACCCATCCCTTCTCCCCAGACATGTGCTGCCGTCCTCCCCCTTAGCAATGCCAGCTGTCCTTTTAGCTACTCAGACAGAAACCCTGGACCCTGCTGCCTCCCCTCTCATAGGCTGCACTCAGTCTTCACATTTCCTGCGGGCTTCACCTTAAAGATGCACAGAGCCCAGCTGCATCTTGCCACTTCTGCTGCCACAATGGCTCAGGCTACCTGTACTCTCACCAGGATGAGTGCAGAAGTCCCTGCTGCCAGTACCCCCTTTTCTGCACAGGGCCCCTCAGAGCCCCCTGGTGCTCAACACCAGGCTTTGTGGCAGCAACTACCGTGGTGGTTTACCTTTGGGGCCACACTGGCCTCCGCTTGGACCTCTGCACTCACTGCTGGCCCACCTGGCACCCCCAAATGCCTGCACAACTGGCCCTCCCCTCTTCCAGGTCCTGCCCAGCCATCGGTGTCTCAGTGAGGCCTCCCCAAGGGCCCTCCTCGTTTCTCCTTAGTACTTTCACTGTCTGATAGCTTGGACTTAGCCTTCTCCTTCTGTCCCATGCAGTCACCTCCATGAAGCACCTCCGCACTGCTGTTCCCTGCTCTGTCTCCAGGGCCTAGATGGCTGCTTAGCTGTATTCTGTGATCACTACTATGGTAACTCTGCCTAGTGGGACCTGTTTGCTGTGAGGCCGGGGACTAGGGTCTTCGTAGTTGGAGGAAGCAAGGGCCATGGACAACATGTGCTGCCCCTCTGGTGCCTTCCCTCATAGAATGAGACATGGCCTCCTCCCCGTGCCTCCCTCACTGAATGGCTTTGGGGAAGGTACCCTTGAGTCTGGAGATGGTGGGGGAGTTGCTCAGCACGCGGTCCAGGTCTTCCTTCAGGCTCTGGTTTTCCTCGGTCAGCTCCTGGACGCTCCGGGACAAATTCAGAAGAGTGCTGCTCATCTTCTTCTGCCTCTTCACGCCCACCTTCTTTTCCATCGGCAGCCTGGGAATGACCACATCGAGGGGCTGAGCTCTGGATTTCTCAACTGGCTTAATAATATTTGAAGTAAGCGACGTGCAAATCACAGCCCACTTCTGTCGAGTTGTGAGCCCAGAGTTCTTGTAGAGGAATACTTGCAACCGAATAGGGAACACTAACTTGGAACCCCAAATAAACAAAACCGCTAACCCTCGTAATAGGATTTCGTATTGCTAACAACCTGTATAACAAAATACAGTATTCAATTATTGGTATCATATCTTAGATGCCATCACTAAAAATCTTGTAGGAACTTACTCTTTTTTATGTAAGTCCCTTTTTAGCTTTCATTTTTGCCTCTTATCCCACTAAAGACTAAAACACTGATGGTCCTTATTTCTAGCAGATTCCTTATTTGCAAGTTTGCATACTCATTAAGATTTATCTGCAAACTCATAATCAATCCTCATGAGGCTTTTCTTTTTTTGGTACCAGGGATCGAACCCAGGGGCACTTAATCACTGAGTAACATCTCCAGCCCTTTTTATTTTTAAATTTTGAGACAAGGTCTTGCTAAATTGCTTAGGGCCTTGTTAATGCTGAGGCTGTCGTTGTTTTATTTTATTTTATTTTTTAGATGTTGATGGACCGTTATCTATTTATATGTGGTGCTGAGAATTGAACCCAGGGCCTCACACATGCTGGGCTCTACCACTGAGCCCCAGCCCCAGCCCAGGCTGTCTTTGAACTCAAAATCCTCCTGCCTCCTGTGGGGCTCCCAAGGGAGTCCATGCACAGGCAGAGTGCTGAAAGACTAGTGAGTTACTGGTGTGCGTTCCCAGCGGAGGTCTAACAAGGCCCTGCTGTATTCTTGTTTCAGTTCTCATACTATAAGTGCCTGTTTGCAGTCTATTAGTGTAGAGACAATATCTCACATTTTTGTGCTTTGTACTAGTGATTTCACTGTTCACAGTGGCCTTACAGTGTAGTACTGAGGCATTCATTGTCCAGTGTCCCTAGGCACAAGGATATGATGAACTTTATGGAGGAACTGTGTGTTAGACGATTGGCTCAGGCATGAGTCAGCGCCATGAGCCTAAATGTTGACAGAGTGTGAGGTTTGCAGGAATCCAAGCCACAATTCCCTTGGCTCAGTGGCTTAGCATCTGCTAATCCAGTGTCTACAGAGATTGTACAGAATATGTATCCATTTACCATAAATATCATTTACCATAATAATCCTATTAAGGTTGATTTGCTTTGAAAAGCACATGCCTGTAATCCCATGTACTGAGAAGGCTGAGGCAGGATAAACGCAAATTTGAGGCCAGGCTGGGCAACTGAGCAGGACTGTCTCAAAATAAAAAAATAAAAAGGGCTAGGAGGTTTAGTTCAGTGGTAGAGCACCCCTGGGTTCAATCCCCAATGCCTCAAAAAGAATCCCAAAAGCAAAACAGCATTTTCAATTCTGAACGGGTAGCTGCTGTGCAGTGCACATAATATATGTGTGGAGCGCGAATGGGGGCAGCTGCCAACATGGAGGATGGGGCACATCTGTAGAGCCCTGAGTGGAAGCAGACCCACTCTAACCATCAGCAGCGTGGGCAATGCTGCCAAGTTAGGGCAGGAGCTGCTGTTTCCAGGAACGACTGCCCTGCTGTTAGACAACACACGGAATGCGACTCCACGTTATCGTACTTCTTTCCTGCAACATCGGAACTCGCCAAGAGAGTCTGGAGACGATGGATCTGAAAGTGCCAAATTAGAATGTGTTAAAACATACAGGAGCACCAAGACAGCTTTCCCCAGAAGCTGTCACCAGATTCCTGACCCTGCTTCAGGGCAGGAAGCAAGAACCAAGTTGCTGGGACTCATTTTCATGTCAAGATAAGCAGGGGACCAGCACCGGTCTCAGTTCAACCCTTGTCGGCAGACTCCCCCTCACACCCACAGGCACCCTCCCCTTCCACGTGCCGCGGAGGGAGCACACACCTCCTCGTAGTAAGTGTCCATGGCGATCCTCATCTCCTCCAAGTTGGTGGTCTTCATGTCAGTCTGGAGTTTGCTGGGGACCCAAGTTCAGAGTTAACATGGCAGGTTTGGGTCCCTGCAAACCTCCTCCCAGGGCCAAAGGACCAGGAGTTCCCAGAACACTGAGGGAAGGCATGGCTTAAGAAGAGAACCTGGCGGGAGCTAGGGACAGTGGTGCATGGCTGTAATCCCAGCAGCTCAGGAGGCTGAGGAGGAGGGCTGTAAGTTCAAACCCAGCCTCAGCAACTTAATGAGACCCTAAACAATTCAGCAAGACTCTGTCTCTAAATAAAAAAATATATATGAAAAAAAGGGTTGGGCATATGGCTCAATGGTTAAGCATCCCTGAGTTCAATCCTCGGTACCAAAAAACAACAAAAACAAAAAACAAAAAAAGAGAGAGGGAGAGAAACTGGTGGGAGAGAAGAGTGGCCCCTCAGTGAGCTTTAGCGTTGAACAAATGGGGCATGCTGTGTCAGACAGGAAGAGTCCTCACACCAGAGTGCCCCTCTGGGTTAGACTACCACTTCCCAAGAGTTGAAAAATCCCAGAAGACATTCTTCTCCAAAGAAGAAGATAAAACTGCCTTGATAACTGTAGATTAGCTGCTGAAAGTCCTCAGAGGTTGGACAGACCGTCTCTGGGGGCAGGTGGGGAGAATGACCAGTTTTATTAAGAAGAGGATGGTTTTCTCCCCTCGTGCTGTTACTGTGTCATTTTGTTCTCACAGACCATAGGCTTTAGGCAAAAGGCACTCAAGGAGGTGAAAGCTGAGTCAGCACTCTAAAACACGGGGGAATTGGCAAATAACCAACTCACTTGAAGGTGCCAAATTTTAGCAAGAAATAAAGAAAGGAAATTGAATACAAGACTTGAACTTAAGCAGAGCCAAGAAAGACCACCTCTTCACACCAACCAGACTGGTAAAGACAGACAGGTAAAGAAGCCTGGGTAGCCACAGCAAGTGCCTGCCTGGGAGATGCCAGGGGCAGGGTCTGTGTGCCACCGGCTATACCAAGATCTAGGAAATTCATTCCAAGGAATCCTAGGGGGAAAAGCATTTCCTAAATAAATAAGGAAATCACTGAAGGGAAAGACTGTTCCCTGGTGACATCTGGAGAGAATGCACATTTGAAAGACAGAGAGGCAGCTAGTCCCTGCCTTCACTTTGGGTGGGAACGGGGACATGGACGGAGGTTGGCAGACAAGTGGCAATGGGAAGGCAGAACAAAACCAACAAGGAAGTAAAAGGCAGAAGATGGCCAGCTGCAGTGGCAGGGTGGCCTGGCCCGGACCCTGTGACCCTCCCGTGCAGGCCCAGGACGCTGCATACTTGATGGTGCTGTCCTTCTCCTTGCACTGCTGCTCCAGCTTGAAGATCCTCTGCTTCAGCCCGTTGATGACCTGCTGACAGAAGGCCACCACCTCAGCCACTGTCTCCCAACGGCTACAGGCTCGGCTGTCCATTCCCCAGGCTGGTTGGGTGTCCCCTTCTAGGTGACCCCACAGCACTCTGCACTTCTGTCCGCTGAGGGCACTTCCACGTCCACCTGTCCTTCCTTCCTTAGCCACTATCTTCTAGGCTACACGCAGCAACCACAAAGGCCCCAGTGTCCTCTCACTGCCTGGAGCTGAGCGAGTCATTAGGAAGAATGAGATGCCCGCCAGGCGGGGCAGGGGCATGGCGGCCAACTGTCTGCACCCAAAGGTAGCCCGACTCCCTGTACTGTGTGCTTAGGAGAACGGGCAGGATGTGCTGTTAGTTGTTTTAATAAAAGGAAGCCATCACAAGTCTGGACGTTAAGGCCACTGACGCTCACCCACACAGTGACAACTCAGTCTTCCCAGTGGGGTGAGAGGGCCGAGGAGCAGGTTGCCTGGAAGATCCCCAGGGCCCCCCTCTCCACCTGGGCAGGAAGGCTGCGCTACTGGGTCATTTTCTCCTCCTCCGTTAACATCTCCTTGGGAGATCACAGCTTCTATTCCCTAAAGAACATCCTTTTCTTTTGAGTAGACAACTTGTAAATCAGATTTTAATTTAGTAGTAGGTGAATACGTTTTCTTAAATGGCTTTCCTCAAATTTCCTGCCAAAGTGGGCAGCTGTAAATGTCATTGTGCAAATGGCTTCTGATGCTGGATTATTTTCTCGAGAGACAGTCCTAAGGAGCAGTGTCAGATAAATGGTAGGCACGATTTGACACGCACTGCTTTAACACGGCGTGCCAACCTGGCATGCTGTGTTCAAGTCCTGAGGAGACCTATTTTTTTGTTAGCCCTGATGATGTTGGTTTTGATCATTTGTGTTATTTTTGTTGCTTTATGGTGCAAAGTGTTTACTCACAGAGCAATTTAAAATAATCTCTTCACTCAGGTACCTACTGCTGGTGAGATGATGGGTGATGGGGTGGGGAGGGATACCAGCCTGCCCTCACAGCGCGTAGAGTCAGTAGCTGGGAGCCCAAGGTGGGCAAATCTTTTAACCTCGGTGTCCTGATTTTACAAATAGGGTTTGAAGTCCCTGCTACAAAAGTTCAAATGAGACCATGTACAAGTGTAGAGTCAATAATTACATAACTTGGGAGTTATGAAGAAGTGTATTTTCTTGTAGAAACATATCGATTCATTCACAACCATTGTTAAATATTGATCAAGTGCTGTCCTAGGCAGACAGCTAGGCTTTATTCATTTATGCTAAATGGATTATATTTCTATATGACATATATATGTATATGTTTCAGAACAGACTTTTTCCTTTAGAGATTTGTACAGATTTTGTGCATATTGTGGACAGAAAACAATGTTTTTTTTTGTTTTGGGTTTTGTTTTTTTTTGATACTGGGGGATTGAACTCGGGGTGCTTTACCACCGAGCCACATCCCTAGCCCTTTTTATTTTGAGACAGGGTCTCGCGAAATTGCTGAGGCTGGCTTTGAACCTGCAATCCTCCTGTCTTCTGAGCCCTGGGATTATAGGCATGTGTCAACATGCCCATCCAGAAAACACTGTAGAATTGATCAAGAATATCCTTCTCACTGGGCATGGCGGTGCATGCCTAGCATCTCAAACTGAGGCAAGTTCAAAGCCAACACCAGCCATTTAGCAAGACCTGGAAAAACTTAACGAGATAAAAAAGACAATAATAATAAAAAAAAATAAAAATGGAGGCTGAGGACATAGCTCAGCTGGTAGAGCGCTTGTCTCCTATACATAGGGCCCTGGGTTCAATCCCCAGCACCACCAAAAAATAAAAAAGGGCTGGGGATGTGGTTCGGCGCTAAAGCACCCCTGGGTTAAAACATCCAGTACCCAAAATAAATAAATAAATAAATAGATAGATAGATATCCTTCCCTCTCCATTATATTGTTTCAGCCTCATGGGTTTTCATATAAATTTTAATTTTATATTATCAAGTCCACTATTATTTTGCTCTTTGTATTCAATAGTCTCAAAAGTTTATCTCTTCCCGTTTTAGTTCTCACATTTCAAAAAAAAATTTACTTCCTGACTCATAGAGTTTATGGTGATATATTTTTCTCCAAATGCTGTCTCGTTTGTTGCCACAGCATTAACCAAAGGCTCCACTAACCCTTGCTTTGTTTCATCCACTTGCTGTGTATTATTGTACAATGGGAGAGGTGTTTATATCTGCTTTAGGGACTTTATTTTATTGCTGTTTGTTTCTCTGTTTTAAATCAGAACACTTGTTAAGCACAGGTGTGTCTGGGCATGATGGGGAAGTTGACCCTTGTGACTGTTTTGCTCTGTAATGTGTTTGGGGTCCTGCTCACTCCCCTTGATCAATCTTGAAGGATTGAAAATGTCAAGTAAGGTATTACAGATAGAAAATGCAAAAAGCTAAGACAACTATTAGATACAGACATATACTTATTAAAGCAAAAAGAGGGAATTGGAAGGGGGTATATATCCCCCAAAGATAAACTTAAAATAATGCTTTTTACTCTAAACTTTTTAAATTTGGATTCATCAGGACTTAGTGCTGCGGATTAATTTACAAAGCTAAAGTGTTAAAATATCAGCCACTAAATATGAAATCAAGTACTCTTTACTTATTAAGTTCCATAAGGTAATATATTTAAACATTATGTGTGTTTTCATAAATTGGTGAATGGAAAAAGTTTAATATTGCTTTGTGTCTGTGTCTTTGCTAAAACAAGGTTACTAAGTGTTAAGATTCTATCATGTGTAATTTATATACAAAGAGTAGAAAAATTTTCAGTTGGGTTTCAATTATAGTATTATAGTATCATAAAAAACATGAAAGTCTTTCATCTTATTAAAGTGGAGTAATTTGTCTAAATCAGAAATTTTATAAGGGTTGTTTCAAAATGTGAATTTATAAAAAGGGTTAATGGCTAAAAAAGAGATAGAAAAAAATTCAAGATGTGGAAATATATTTTAATATAAAAGGTTAAAGGAAAAAGAAATGTTTCTAGATGAGATAATCTGTGTGTGGTAAAGTAAAAAGGTGTAAAATGCCATTTAAAAAAGATTTTGAGGAAACTAGACTTACTTTAAAAGCTTGAGAAAGGAAGAAAGAAGAAAAAGGTATTTGTACATGGCAGATTGAGACAAAGCTTCTCAATGGAGTTTAAAAAAAAAAAAAAGAAGCCTTTGGTTGAAAGGCAGCCATGTAAACTAACATTGAAGCGATTTAAACAAAATCTAACCCTCTTTTAAAAGAGTGAAGCTGTAGGTGGTGAAAAAGTACATTTAAAAGTACAGTATAGATGATAATTAAAAGGCTTTAAAAGGTTAAATTAAAGGTGGTTAAAATGCCTTCATGATGGAGGAAAGAAGCTTAATCTTAAAGGCATTACTTTAAAAAAAATCGGAAGATAATAGGATAAAAGATATTTAGATAAAGAAGATTAAAAATTTAAAGTGAAAAACTTTAAAGACAGAAGTATAGAAAGTTAAAAAGAATAAAGATAAAAAAGATATAGGAAGATAGAAAAGATGTAGGAAGACAATAATTTTAAACCCACAAAATAGGAAAAAAAAAAAACTAGGAGGAAAATAAGCAACTAAGGGTAAAAATACAAACCTTAGGAAAAAAAAAAAACTAGAAGATAGAAATAAGATAGAAAATGGTTGAAAATGTCAAGTAAGGTATTACACAGATAGAAAATGCAAAAAGCTAAGACAACTATTAGATACAGACATATACTTATTAAAGCAAAAAGAGGGAATTGGAAGGGGGTATATATCCCCCAAAGATAAACTTAAAATAACGCTTTTTACTCTAAACTTTTTAAATTTGGATTCATCAGGACTTAGTGCTATTTAAACATTATGTGTGTTTTCATAAATTGGTGAATGGAAAAAGTTTAATATTGCTTTGTGTCTGTGTCTTTGCTAAAACAAGGTTACTAAGTGTTAAGATTCTATCATGTGTAATTTATATACAAAGAGTAGAAAAATTTTCAGTTGGGTTTCAATTATAGTATTATAGTATCATAAAAAACATGAAAGTCTTTCATCTTATTAAAGTGGAGTAATTTGTCTAAATCAGAAATTTTATAAGAGTTGTTTCAGAATGTAAATTTATAAAAAGGGTTAACAGTTAAAAAAGAGATATAAAAAGATTCAAGATGTGGGAATATATTTTAATATAAAAGGTTAAAGGAAAAAGAAATGATTCTAGATGATATAATCTGTGTGGTAAAGTAAAAAGTTGTAAAATGCCATTTAAAAAGAATTTGAGGAAACTAGACTTAATTTAAAAGCTTGAGAAAGGAAGAAAGAAGAAAAAGATATTTGTACATGGCAGATTGAGACAAAGCTTCTCAATGGAGTTTAAAAAAAGGCCTTTGGTTGAAAGGCAGCCATGTAAACTAACATTGAAGCGATTTAAACAAAATCTAAGCCTCGTTTAAAAGAGTGAAGCTGTAGGTGGTGAAAAAGTACATTTAAAAGTACAGTATAGATGATAATTAAAAGGCTTTAAAAGGTTAAATTGAAGATGGTTAAAATGCCTTCATGATGGAGGAAAGAAGCTTAATCTTAAAGGCATTACTTTAAAAAAATGGGAAGATAATAGGATAAAAGATATTTAGATAAAGAAGATTAAAAATTTAAAGTGAAAAACTTTAAAGACAGAAGTATAGAAAGTTAAAAAGAATAAAGATAAAGAAGATGTAGAAAGATAAAAAAAAGTAGGAAGACAAGAATTTTATACCCACAAAATAGGAAAAAAAAAAAAAAACTAGGAGAAAAATAAGCAACTAAGGGTAAAAATACAAACCTTAGGGAAAAAAACTAGAAGATAGAAATAAGATAGAAAACGGTTGAAAATGTCAAGTAAGGTATTACACAGATAGAAAATGCAAAAAGCTAAGACAACTATTAGATACAGACATATACTTATTAAAGCAAAAAGAGGGAATTGGAAGGGGGTATATATCCCCCAAAGATAAACTTAAAATAATGCTTTTTACTCTAAACTTTTTAAATTTGGATTCATCAGGACTTAGTGCTGCGGAAAGGCATATGTATCCAAAAAATGTACATAAGCCTAAAGTACTTTGGAAAGATATTCTAACAGGACAATGGAAAGGTCCTGACCCAGTGATTGTCTGGAGTCGGGGGTCTGTTTGTGTTTTTCCACAGGGAGAACAGCAGCCCATTTGGATTCCAGAGAGATTAACTAAAACAGTTTCTACAGATCGAAAAGAAGATGATTTGACTCAAATCCATAACAGCTGATATCCAGAACTCCAGCTTGGCCATTCTTACATCTGTGACAGTGATTAACCAGGATGCTTTTTTTCAATAGGTATTTTATTATTGCATTTTTCCACATCATAAGGTTCTATTTTTATTTTTTGAGCTCATACAAACCTAGGTTAATGTTTTTCTGATCAGTTTTATTTTTTGACTATGGAGTTTTTAAACATTGCAATGGAGATTTCACCTAGGTAAAGCTACAAGGCCTTTACTATTTTCTTATGTGTTGTACGTTTGTGTACACTCTTGTGTTTTGTGTTGTATGTCTGTATGTGCGTATGTCCATATTTCTTATATGAGGAGCGCTCATGAAAATATGGATCCGAATTATTATTATTTTTTTATTCACGTGATTTAAATGGTTTAATTTAAATTATGTAAACAGCTGTTAAGGATTGTTTTTAAAGGTGGTTAACAGATCTGTTTGTTTACTAATTTAAATTAGGTAAAAAGCTGTTAAGGATTGTTTTTAAAGTAGGTTAACAGATCTGTTTGTTTACTTTCACCTTTCCTTTTCATTATATTTAATAATTCTTTTCAGGATAATGTCTCTTTAGCATCATTGCCAGAATTCCTATCTCCATCCCAGTGCCGGTGAAGAACTCAACAAGTAATGCTCAAAGAGTCAACTTACTTTGGGAGGAAACGGATTTTGGGAGGAAATGGACATATTGATAGATTCCTCTGCTTTGAACTGCTTGCAGAACTTGCCTGGACTATGTAACTATCGTTTGGTGCAGCGAATTGTGGTAATGCTGGCATATCTTTGCTGATGGTGTCACCAGTGATGCAATTTTTCCCAAGGAGCCGTCAATTGGCTTGGTGTCGTGGCATTTCTGTATCCTCCTCCCTTCTGCTAGTGATGGTCTAAAATTTGGGGGCCAATGGCTTATGCTGGACCGGTAGTCAGTGACGGGTATGATCCAATTGCAGTGGTATCAACCTAAGACAGGAGGCTGACGCCTAAAGGTCAGTTTTCCGATGACGGGTAAGAACCATATGTTGAATTGGACAACCTACCAGGCACGGTCCATAAGCCACATTAACCTCACTCCCCCACTGGCACCAAGGCCAAATTTGGGGGCCAACAGAGGTGAGGCAAAGAACCTCACCCCCCACTGGTGCATAGACCTATCCACAAGTATGGCTGTATGCTGGACCGGTAGTCAGTGACGGGTATGATTCAATTGCAGTGGTATCAACCTAAGACAGGAGGCTGACGCCTAAAGGTCAGTTTTCCGATGACGGGTAAGAACCATATGTTGAATTGGACAACCTACCAGGCACGGTCCTTAAGCCACATTGCTTGTTGTTTAATTAATCAGAAGGGGGGAGATGCTGGGAGCCATTAGCCAAGTAGGTATGACAATTTCCTTGCCAGCGTACCCCATGTTGCAGTGACATTGAATGTACGTGACCTTGCTCAAGGACCAAGGCAGATTAGGGTGTTCCCGGTTTTAAGATAATCGTGTTTAGGGCGTTCCCAGTTTAGGTTCCAGGTTTAAGGTTTAAGATTATTCCTGCTGGGAATAGGGCGTATCCTGCTGCCTGAGTTCCCCTTGAGTTCTCACGGGATTTAGACAGTATATTTTGGAGATAGAAGCCCAGAGGAGGTGGATTTGGGCAGAGAACGTGAATTTGGGCAGAGAACGTGGATTTCCCCAGAACGTGATTGTAGACGGCTGGTGTGAGTTCGGGAATAAAGAGTTGCTGTTTGAATCTACAAGCTGTGTGGTGGCTCGTGACTGTGTGCCCAGCCAGACTGCGGCATTTGTGCCCAGCCAGACTGCGGCACCCCTTGGCTCCACAGAGAATGGTTCCCGGAGGCTCTGTGGCCATCCCTGCTCTGCGGCTCTGTGTGTGCAAGGGCTTCAGGGAAGCAGCTTCCCTCCGTGCGCACCTGCTCCTGTCTACGGTCTTGGGGGAAGGCTCTCCTCTCTGGGGAACCAGACTACTTACCCAACCAGCATCGGGCCTTTTCTCTGCCAGGGTCCGAACAAAATCTGGGCCCTGCAGTAAACAGATTGAGACATGAGGTCCACGTGTAGCTCAGCTTGTCCCCCCGTGTGACAGTGACTCTAGACAGGAGTCCACCATGAGGTCAGGAACTTACTCGACCTGGGTCCAAAAGCTGTTCTATCTGCCTATCTTTCCTATTATTTTCCTCTTCCAAGCGCCGAAGCTTTGTTCTCATCAGATCTACGTCGCTTTTCTTCATATGTAATGACTAAAGAAAAAAAAAAAAAAAGAATGCCTCAGCACACACTGTGGATTGCCACCTGGGACGGGACACAAGACTACAACACACACCACAGACTTCTCCCTGGGACAGGATGCAGGGCCACATGCACTTGGGATATGACAGAGAGACACACACTCTGTGAATCTACACCTGGGATGGGACAATCACACTCACATTGTACCAATGACAACTTTCTGGTATGGATATTGTATGGAAGTTGTGAAACCTAACCACAGGAGGCAAGCGAAGGGGACAGCAGCCCCTCTGCACTGTCCACACAACATGTCCTGGGACATGCATGTACACATATCCCAGGATCTGTAATTATTTCAAACAAGGTTTTAAAAAGTGGCCAGAACTTACTGATCTCTTACTGCCTACCAAGCACTTTCTGGCCTATGGTATGACAAGCCTATGAAATCAGTATGATTATATCCCTCTCCATTTTGTACTGGTGGTCCTGGGGATGGAACCCAGGTCCTGGCACATGCTAAGCAGCCCTAAGCTATTTCTCGGTATCATCCCCAATTTTTAACAGAAAACTGAGACATTGCTTATGTAGAAAAATGAACTGATGCTCAAGATCCTAAGGATGGAGTATTAAAAAGCAATTCTCTCCTTTCTGAATCTGGAACCCAGGCTGACTCTACCCAGAGACCACACTGGTGAGTCTGAATGGGGTCAGCACCATTTCTCCAGAACCACATTTCTAGCCAAGAAGACCCTTCCCAGAGTGCTAAAGAGCACCACAGCACTGCCGTTCAGTGTCAGGGCTCTCAGGTCCATTTAGAATAGTCTTCCAACAAGATGGGAATTGTCCCTATGCCACCCTTCAAGAACAGCCTGACCTCTGCTTGAGACATCTGTGTGTGGGTGTGTGCGTGCTCTGCAGGAAGCCCCCTCACTACTGGGCAGCCCCCATGGTCACAGGACTAAAACCTGAGTGCTCTCTCTGGACCAGCAGCAAAGGCTGCATAGGCAGCTGCCTGGGCTCTCTTGCCATGCTGAGCTGCTCTGGTGAGATGCTCCAGACTCCTTGCCAGCTGGCTGCCAATGCCCTGCTCACCCTCTCATGCCAGCCTAAATGCAGTCCTGAAGACGCATTTCGACTAGGTGATTTTGAATCCACTGTTATGGAAGGCCGTCCCTGCACTGACACTGTCATTGAAGGCTGGCCCTGCTAAAATCAATAAGATGCAGACAGAGTACTACCTTCTTCAACTCAATAATCTCATCATACATATCTTCTTTTTCTCTGTAGACGGTAGTCCCCGGGACGTGACCTAGAGGAAGACATGCAAGCCTCTTAGGAAATCATCAGGAAGAAGAAAGAATTCTTGGCTATGCCTTAAGGAAAACCTGAAAGTCAATAAAATTATTCTTTTAAGAGGAGAACAAAAAAAGAGGAGCAAAAAACTTTCACTTTTACCCCATTGTGGTACTTTAAAAAATAGCAAGGAAACACACACACACACACACACACACAAATGGTAATGATACAGAAAAGAAAAATAAAGATAAATGCAGAGTTTAATTATAGTAAAAGGATTAAGGAAAGGAGTCACAGAAGGAGAGTGACAGGGCTGGGATGGTGGCTCAGTGGTAGAGTGCCTGCCTTGCACATATGAGGCACTGGGTTTGATCCTCAGCACCATATAAAAATAAATAAATAAAATAAAGGTATTGTGTCAGTCTACAACTAAAAAAATATTTAAAAGAAAAGAAGACCTGGAAGAAGTAATAGACTTTAAATAACAGATAAAAAACATATATATATATATATATATTTTTTTTTTTTTTTTTAAATATATATATCATTAGCACCCATTCCAAGGCAAAACCAGTACAACTTTACCCCCCGCCTCCCCAGGACTGGGGATTGAGTCCAGGGGTGCTCTACCATTGAGCTATATGCCCAGCCCTTTTTTATTTCTGTTTTTTATTTTGAGACAGGGTCTTGCTAAGTTGCCCATACTGGCCTCAGACTCAAGACCCTCCTGCCTCAGCCTCCCAAGTAGCCGGGACTGCCGTTGTGCAAAAGCAACCTGGTTTGCTTTGGCTTTAATACGACCCCTAATATGCTAGGAATCTGGACTACTGAACTGTAACTCCTGACAGCAAAAACAACAGGGGGGACAGCGAGAGCAGCTGTCACCAGGCCCTGCAAGTGGCTCTCCTTTACAGAAAGGAGCAGGATTCGTGGGGAGGACTGGAGAGAAATACAGAGACGTAAAACAAGTCAGTTGTTTTTGGTGAGATTCAAGCTTTTTATTATTTGCTAATCATATTTGTTTCTAATACTGTTTATGTAAGAAATGTAAATAAGACTCTAAGTTTAGGGAGGTTGGCACAATGAAAGCCTGGCTGTGAGAGGCTTCCTTTCTGGTTTTCCTCAGCCCTGCCCTTGACCACCAATATGCTCTGCATTGCTGGCGGAACACCTGAGGTCTGACCGCTTTGCTCTCATAGCTTTGGCCAGGCAGTTGGGAGTGCTACTGGGGGTGGGTCCAGGTGTGCTCCAAGGTGAGGCTGGAGTTCAGGGGTTGGACCAGAGTTCCTGGTTTGAGCATGCACAGATTTAATATGACAGGTACAAGCAAGCACAATGGTGGGTTTGCCTCTCACCAACTTTCCTAAACTGAAGGAAGTTTACATCACCCCGTGCTATCAGCCGTCAGTGGTGTGCTGATGTCTAACAATAAGATCTCAAAAATACATTTGCCCATTTCCAGGATGTAATATTTCCACTGTGCCATTTCTTTTTCTTTTCTTTAATTGTAGATGGACACAATATCTTTATTTTATTTATTCATTTTTTATGTGCTGCTGATGATGGAACTCACACGTACAAGGCAAGTGCTTTACCACTGAGCCACAACCCCAGCCCCATCACGCCCAATTTCAAGCTGCTAGTGTGAGACTCATCAGCCCACAAAACTCCTAAAAATTTAACACCTGGACCTGGAAACTGGTAGGAGCTGGCTCCCACACACCACTGCCACTGAGCAGCACAGAGACAACCAGAGAACCAAGAGGCTATGGCGTCACTCAAGCAGAAGTAGGGACATCATCCATGGTCTACATATGACATGCAACTCTGACTACATGCTCAGTGTCTGCAAGACTAAGACCCATGCAATTCAAACAAGGAATGTCAAAGCTCCTTCTCAAACTTCCACTGCGGTTCCTAAAACCCTACTCTTGAGCAGCAGGGCCCCGGTGGGAGCAACCACATACCTTGCTTTGGAGCTCCCAGCCAGAGCTTCTGTGGGGTTAGGGACATTCTGCCACTCAGAGGCATGCTCCCCACTGTCCTGAGAGACCGCCAGGATGCTGCTTTTCTCGGCTTAGAGTAATAGGGTGACTCTAAAAAAAGACAATATGTGGTTTCCGAGTTGGAAAACATCAACTCCCAACACATGCACTTCAGAAAGAAAAAAATGATACAATGAAGTATTCAAAGGGCATGCTGATTCTAGATAAAAACATTCTGGCAAAAATTCTAAAATAGTTACTTGTGTTATGAGACAGAGTCTCACTGTGTGGCCCATGTTGGCCTAGAACCCCTGAACTCAAGTCATTCTCCTGCCTCTGACTCCCAAGTAAGTGCAGTTATAAGTGTGCACCCAGCATTACAGTTATTTTATATACGTATATGCATTTACATTTCTCTTTTAATTTTTATTATAAAGGAAAAATAATTGGAAACTTAAAAATATAAAATTCTATTACTATTAGAATTCTAACGTTATAATATTTAATGTCCCATTCAATTTTTTTCCAGATATGTATATATTTTTACATAGTCACAATCATGGCGAACATATAACTTTACATCCTTTATATTTAACACAAAATATTTTTCATTTTGCTACATAGTGATACAGCAATAATATTTGAAATGGAACATGTAAACTATCTAGAAGAAATGATAAAAATTATACTTTTCCAGGGCATTCTTGTTTTTCTCATCAAAATGTTAAAAACTTTTTTGTTTGTTTTTTGGTCCTGGGATTGACCCAGCCATGCTTTACTAGTGAGGTACATCCCCGGTTCTTTTTTTTTCTTTTTCTTTTTTTGTGGTGCTGGGGATTGAACCCAGGGCCTTGTGCATGCGAGGCAAGCACTCTACCAACTGAGCTACATCCCCAGCCCTCCACAGTTCTTTTTATTTTTTATTTTGAGATAGGGCTAAGTTGCTTAGGGCCTTGCTAAATTGCTGAGGTTGGTCTTGAACTTTTGATCCTCCTGCCTCAATCTCCTGAACCCTTGGGATTACAGGTGTGTACCACTGTGCCCAACCACATGTATTTTAAATAGCAATGAAATTCATATCTGTAGAAGGTCCTGAAAATTTAAGTCTACTATGCTTATATGAGTTGGTTTTTTTTCCATGACTTCACAACTTATAACCAAGAATGCTCTGCTCTGGATGTGTTTTCAGGTACCCCGGAGCCACAATACCCACCTCAGGGATATTCTGATGGCTTTCCTTACTTTAACTGTTTGTTTAAACTGTCATTTACAAAAGTAAATTAGTGATCAGAAAAAGGGCCCATAAATTACATTTCCCTTCTAAAGGTTGAGGATTTATCAATGAACAGTAGGGATTCCATAGTAAGAATTTTTCAGGAAAACATACGCAAGGGTAAAAGCTGGGGCAGAAGAGAAAGTGAAAACAGGCCAGTGGGAACCCGCTGTGTTATTTGATAGCACCTGCAAATCAAATGGGAGGAAGCCTCAGGGCAGATGCCCTCTCCTCACAGAGCAGCGCCTGGAACACTCTGGTTACAGCATCCCCCCCCTCCCTGATCCACACACTGATTAGACATTCATGAGCTGAATGTTAAGTGAACAGGATAGACAGGGTCCCTGCCATCACAGCCTTTCACAGACAGAAAAGCAGCTCATGAACAAGGTTAGGAGGATATGACTCCATCCGAGCTGGGAGGCAGTGTCCCTGAGCCCTGGGCAGTGAGATATGCTGAGCCAACAGCGGAGAGGACTGTGTGAGCTTTGCTCCAGGGGCCCCAGAGGACTATGGGAGAGGAAAGACAGGGGAGCTGAGGGCAGGCCCAAGGGGCAGCTGGAAGCACGGGGTCCTGAAGAAGCAGAGCAGAGGCAGCAGGTAGAGAGACAGGGTGAGGCCACACCACCAGGTCAAGTACAGCCCTGGCTCTGGTCGGCTAAGAGCCCTGGTCTACATGAGTCCCGTGGAAAAAAAAACATCCTGACCCTTACAGAACTCTACATGAATACAATTTGATTATGATGATTTCTAACACTTGAAATGCTTGACATTCAATAAGAATAGTGAATGATGTTGACCTTAGTTACTTTCAAGCCAAAGGGCTGAAACAAAATAATTCTAAAATGAAAAGGTTTGAAACCCAAACACCTGTACTTTTATATCAATTCTCAGTGTTCTCCAAGGAAGGACAAGGTTACCATCTGGACATGTCCCCCAAGGCTCCTGTTAACACAGCAATGCGCAGAGGTAAAATGATTAGATTCTAAGAGTCGTGACCTAATCAGTCTGTCTTGGTCTGAATGGACTGACTGCATGTGGCAGGTGGCTGGAGAGGTGGGTCACTGAGGATGTGCCCAGAGGGTGCACCTTCCCTGCAGCCCCCTCCCCTGTCTCTCCTGGCCTCCTGGCTGAGTGGAGCAGTGCTCATCTACCATACCTTTCTCCCAGATATTCTGTCTCATGCTGGGCCCAGAGCAGTGGACTGACTGTGAACTGAACCTGGACCTATGAGCCAAAATAAACTTTTCCTCCTCTCTAAGCTGTTCTTGTTGGGTGTTTTGGTCATAGTGACAAAAAGCTGACACAAACCTCAAAAATTCCAACTGCCAAATGATTTCTTTCTTTCGTTTTTTTTTTTTTTTTTTTCTTTTTGTAGTTGCAAATGGACAGAATGCCTTTATTGTTTATTTTTATGTGGTGCTGAGGATGGAACCCAGCACCTCATGCATGCTAGGCAAGTGCTCTGCCGTGGAGCTACAGCCCCAGCCCATGATTTCTTTCTAATATGTATATTTATTCTTAACATATAATGTGTTCTTTACAAGAATGTACTTTTGTAATTATGTTTTCTCTGTCCACTGTGAAAGTTCACTTGCATTCTCTGAATATATCCTGTGTACAACTAAATGTGATTGAAACACATGATACACACATAACATATATAAAACCACATGTATACAGATGATAAGGGTGGGAAAGGCTACAGGCTGATGGGTAGCAAAAGGAAGCCAGTCTAGGGTTTCACATCTTCCATGAGCACATTTGTGAGACTAGCAACCAGGTCACTGTGTCCCAGAGCAGCGTTAGAACAACAGAGACAAATCAGGAGGCCTCGCTGCATCTGGACTGGCCCAGCATGGCAAAGTTCCACCAGCAGGAGCTGCCTCTAGGCCATCCGTGGAGAAGAACAAAGCTGTTCTCATCCTGCTAAGGATGAGGGGAACCCTGGCAGCAAAATGAGCCCGGGGAATCCCAAGAACAAAAAGGTGAACTTCCCTTCTGCCTTGGAATATCCACACCTTCTCAGTACTGGGCCCAGAGGAACAGCTTTGATGCTCAAGAAATACATCCTAACTTAAAAACATCCTTTAACTTTGGCAGTATTCTGGCTTGAGAAACCAAGAGAAAGAAAAAAGAAAGGCCACAATGTGCTGTGTCTCATGGGAGGCTCAGTGGGACAGTGGCTGGGCCCTGCTCAGGAGCTGCAGCCTGATAGCTTGGTGCCTGGGACAGGTGGGGACCCCAGGAGCACACACACCTGAGGTTCCAAAGCAAATGGGGCTTGTCCCAATGACACCATGTCTCTCCTACCCCGTGGCACAAGTAAAGAAATGTCCTCTGCTTTCTGTGGGACACCAGGGACAGGCAGCTTTTGGAAACACTCCAGGGTCAGGGCGGGTACAGGGGCAGAAGGCCTGCTCATACTCACTTGGTGATGTGGGAGGCTTGTGGAAACCTTTCCTTCTTGCTTTCTGAAAGAAAGAAGAGGTGACATAAAGCAAGCTGAGCTTTCTGTCCTTCCCTGGGGGTTCCTGTTATGGAACCCTGCCGTGTGTGGGGAGGGTCCAGGCGGTCAGTATGAGGGGATGAGGGCAAATGAGCTCAGTAGAGCCCTATGCCAGGACTGAGGCTGAGGGGCACCACGTGCTCTCAGACAAGTCCTAAAACAGGAAACTCAAGGAGGGGGCCCTGAGAGCTCAGAGGGAAGAGCCCAGGTAAGGCATCTTCTCCGCTCCCCGGCCCCACTGTCCTCGAGCTCAGTTCTGGGGCACTGATGCAACCTGTGTCCCCACAGCAGGTTGGGCAAGATGAAAACCCTAAGTAACTGCAAATCCCACGGAGGAAGACGAGTCCAGAAGGAGTGGCCCTCTGTGTCGGCCTGTCTGCCGTGACAACCATGATGTCAATGCAGAACTGGGTGCAAATTTGCTTCTAATCCTCGCCAGTTCTGTCTCAGGGAAAACACCATCGCCCTCCAACCTCGTCTTCCTCATGCACTTCACTCTGACGGGAACTTCCCTCGCTTCCCCTGGGGGAACACAGCGAACCCTCTGTCTGAGGGAGGCTAAATTCTACCTAGGGGCTAGCCTGGGTCGCTGCTCCTCCAAGGGGCACTTTGGACCCCAGCCCCAGGGATGTGGCAGGACACCCCTCAGCTTTTCAGACAGGGTCCTTCTAGGGGACAGTGCCCTAGAGTGGAGCCAAAGCTTGCTGGTTCCCTCAGTGCTGACAGGCCACTGTTTTGCTAGAACCATCTACATGACAAGCTTCTTTTGCTTATCTCTAAGCAAGCAGTTAGCAGGCTTCCTCTGTCACCTGGCACAGTGGCAAACAAACTAAGAAAGGCCAACTACAGCACCATCGTGGGCCTTTGGGCTTGACCACCTACTTCCTGACCCCTCCCAGCTGGTTCCCAGCACCCCAGCGGCCCCGCTGCTGGCCAGGCTATCTTGGCTCTGGAAGTGGGCTCTCCGGCCTCACCAAGCTCCACCTTCCCTCATGTGAGGACTGGGGGCAGTGAGCAGGCCAAAACCAGATGCGGGACTGGTCACTGGCCTCAGGTGAACCCTGCTCAGGATCTTTTCTAGAAAAAAAGTTTTAAAATTATAATCTAAATAATTTAAATCCCACCAAGGGATTAAAACTTTTCAAACACCAAGGAGCATTCAGGATTGTATCCTGGTTAAGGACATCTGTGCCACTCGGCCTATTCTACTCTCTGAGGAGCACGTGTAAGGGCAGAATAAGCAGCAGCTGCAAGTCATGATTAATACTCACCGTCTCAAAGTCTGAGTCAAAGGTAATTGCAGATAGACTGTCATCTCCCTGGAAGAAAAGAAGCAAACACAGTAACTATGTGGTTCCTGCTCGGTTCCTGATGGTCCAGTTCACAAAGTGCACATAGCCCATCTGTGGCTGCTGAAGCAGAATCCAGTAACTCCAAGGCACAGGACCCTGGGACTCCTCAAGCCAGCGGCCAGCTCAGACTCGCTGGCAGAACTGCTGTGTATCCAAAGCCAGAGCACTAGGTCCTACAGAACTGCTGTGTGCTCGCCACAGAGAAAGAGTTCTTGACCAAAGTATTTCATTCCTCACTCTGTATAAACATTCTGACCTTTGTGTGTGTGTGTGGAGCTGGGGATTGAACCCAGGGCCTTGTGCATGAGAGGCAAACGCTCTGCCAACTGAGCTATATCACCAGTCCCCATTCTGACTTACTCAGCTTTGCATCAGAGCACAATGAATCTGTGATATCTCCTGCTAAGAGCGCCAGTCATGGCTTAGAAAACATATTCCCAGGGGCTCAGGGTGCCACTCAGCCTGTGGTAGGCTCTGGGTTCTATCTCTAGCACCAAACCAAACCCAAACCAAAAACACTCCTGGAGACGCACATGCACAGGGAGACATTTGGGCCCACGAAGGCTCCTGCCTGTTCCAGTCCTCTGCCCTGCTCAGGAAGGGTGATGAGGCACACCAGCCTATGTCAGCAGACTGAAGCAGACTGGCCAAAGAGAGGAGGCTTCCTAAACTAACGCAGGTCCAAGTCCTGAACAGCCAGAAAGCAGAATATACGCATTTCCCTTCAGAAAAGCATGTGGCTAATCTGTAGCGCTGGTACTGGACGCTAGAATGGGACCCTTATTCTGAACCAACAAGGCTGTGGCTGGGTGGCACAGGTGGCTCTGTCTCAGGATCTGCCCAGCATGGAGGAATCACCAGCATCACAATGAGTCACTGTACCCTGAAAGGAGTCGAGCCGTCTACAGGTGGGCACACAGAGAGGGACAATTCAGCCAGCAGCTTGAGTTTTACTAGACACAATGGCCATGTTATCACACGCACAGGGGCAGCTGAGTTGACGTGGTACTTACCCTGCTACCTCTTAAACATGCAGAACCCAGATTAAGAACACAGTGTGGGGCGTGGGTAGTGGCTCAGTGGTAGAGCGCTCGCCTAGCACGCTTGAAGCACTGGGTTCGATCCTCAGCGCCACATAAATGTAAAATAAAGATATTGTGTCCACTTAAAACTAAAAAAATAAATATTAAAAAAAAAGAACATAGTGTGACTTAAGCTGGGGCCCAGGGAATAGTTCATTCCAAATAACCAGAATCTTTTAAAGAATTATTCACTGATTTTGATTTCTGCTGTCATTTAATGGTATTAGAAGCATATGACAATTATAAAGTTTTCATTTGAACAAAGTGTACTAAAATGACATACACAATTTAGGAAGGCAGGCGGGAAATCAGACGTATCAAGTAAAGTCAGAGAATCCAGGTGGATAGCCTGTGTGTGTGTCCCCAGTGTCCAAAAGGTGGGGTTTGCCAAGGACAAATACAGATGTGCTGAACTCTGGAAAGAAAAGTAGCCACAAGTGTACAGGAGAAAATCCAGATGGCAGGGGCTCAAGTGCACCGCTGCCCAACCAGGGACTTTTGCTGATCCAAGGGCAGCCTCTAGATGACTAAGCTAGGAATTAAAATGGGGGAAAAAAACCTGAGTAGGAAACAAAAGGCTACACAATGCAGGCACAGACTCCAGAGAGTAAGCTCAGCCACATGACTAGTCAAATAGGTGAGCAATGACATCCACCCCAGGGGCATGGGGGGTGGGGTGGCCATATGCAGAGTCACTATAATACCTGACCAAAATGTCTAGGTTTCAATGGAAAAGTTATGGGACACACAAAGGAACAGGAAACAGTGACCAACCCACGGGGGAAAGCAGGCAATGGGAAGTACTTTCAAAGGGGCCAGCTGTTGGACTTGGCAGGCCAGATGTCAGAGCAGCCACTACGAGATGTTCTAACAACCAGAGGAGGCCATGCCTGACTAACTCAAGGATGTGCGACGACACGGTGTCTTAAACAGAGACCCCTGGAGGTGAGCACTGTAAGAGAACCAGGTGGAAATTCTGGAATTGAAAAGTATAATAAGTAAAAATGAAAAAGTCACTAGAGGTCAGTTTTAGAGCAGATTTGAGGGGATAAAAACAAAAGCCAGTTGGTATGAAGATAGCACTGGAGATTGTGCGACTGGAAGAGCAGAAAGAAAAGTCATCACAAGGAGCACCGAGCAGGCGCAGGGGCTAGCTTCCTGGGGCTGCTGACCTCCACGCACTGAACCCCGGGGGCATCAGCCTGAAATAAGTGTCTTGCAGCTCTACAGGCCGGAAGTCCAAGACACTGCCCTGGCAGGGCCAGGCTCCTAACAGAACAACCAGGTGGAAGAGCCACAAGGAACTGGAAGCCTTGAACAGCTCAGTAAACTCAGGGAGGTTCACAGAACGTTCCCCATCACAGAGCGAACGGCCTGCTGCAGCCCAGTGAACGCAAGCCCACGGTTGGCTCCAAGCCAGGAGGGTTCAGGCAGAAATCCTTCAGGGTGTGTCTGTCTCGGATCACAGTGGGAAGGAAAAACTCAACAAGAGAAAACAATGTGGAAGTTCCCAAATGTGTGGAAATCAAACACATTCCTAAACAAACAATGGATTGAAGAGGAAATTAGAAAACACTTTGGGGGCGGGCACAGGGGGGCACACCTATGATCCCAGAGGCACTGGAGGCTGAGGCAGGAGGATGGCAAGTTCAAAGCCAGCCTCAGCAACTTAGCGAGGCCCTGAGCAACTTAGTGAGACCCTGTCTTAAAAAAAAAAAAAAAGAAAGAAAGAAAACACCTTAGGTGAATGAAAAAAATTTTTTTTTTAATTAAAATGTGGGGCTGGGGTTGTGGCTCAGTGGTAGAGCGCTTGCCTAGCATGGGCAAGGCCCTGGGTTCGATCCTCAGCACCACATAAAAATAAGTAAATTACCATTGTGTCCATCTACACCTAAAATATAAATATTTAAAAAAATTAAAATGTACTTAAATTGAAACTTTGAGCAGGGCTCAAAGGGAAACGCAGCTATAAAAAAGCGTCTTTATTTAAAAGGCCATATCAATAGCCTACTCTTCCACTTCAAAGAACAAAAGCAAATTCTTGGGGACAATTTACAGCTGCAACACCCTTATGAACATGAAGACCTTGGGTGAATACTAACCTTCTACCTCTAGAAACAGAAGAGAAAGTTAACCCCAAAACAGGTAAAGAGAAAGTAATAAGGATGAGACTGAAAAAATGAAATTGAGAATAGAAAAAAGAATTTAAAAAAATGAGACCTAAAATTTATTCTTTGAAAAAAAATCAACAAAATTGACAAACCTTTAGCCAATTGATTTTAAAAGGTGGCGGCGGGGGAGGGGAGGGCCTCCCCTCCCCTAAATTACCAAAATATGGAGTAAAAGGGGACATATCCACTGACCTTATAGAAATAAAGAAAAGTCCAGGGCAATATGAGCTCACTAACAAACATCAAAAGACAAACTGGATAAATTGATATCAATCCTTCATAAATTCTTCCAAAAATGAGAAAAGTAGGGGGTGCTTTTCAATTAATAATATGATGCCAGTATTACCCTGACACCAAACCAGATAAAGAGATATCAAAAGAAGGCAAACTACAGACCAATGTTCCTTATGAATACAGATGTAACATCTCAACACATGACTAGTGATCAGCACCTCATAACATACAAAAGAAGGTTTTATGTATATATATAAAGGGTTGTATACCATGAACAAGCCTGATACACTACTAAAATGAAAGGTTGGTTTGACATAGAAAAATCAGTGTGGTATACCGTATTAGTGGAATAAAGGACAAAAAATATGATTGTCCCAGAAGCTGTAGAAAATGTGACAAAATCTAACACCCATTCACAATAAAAATATTGAACAAATTATGAAGAGAAGAGAATTTCCTCAATCTAATAAATGGCACTGTCAAAAATCCAGAGCAACATTATATTTAATGGAGACAGACGGAACACTTCCCTCCTAATATTAGAAACAAGACAAGGATGTCCTGATGTCCTTTCTCATCACTTTAACTTAAACTGTACTGGGGTTCTAGCTACTACATTAACATCAGAAAAACTAATTCTAAAAAATCCATACTGGAAAAGAAGAAGTAGAGCTACCTCTGTTCACAGGCAATCTTATCTACAAAAAATCCTAAGGAATCTATTAAAAACTATCAAACAAGTTTAACAACTTTGCAGGAAACATGATTAATATAAATTTTAATTATAGTTATATATACCGGCAGTGAAAAAAATCTAACATAAAATTAAGAAAATTCCATTTATGGGATAAAGAAAATGTGGTATATATATACACACAGTTGAATATTATTACTCAGCCATGAGAATGAAACCCTGTCGATCATGTGTGACAACATGGATAGAACTAGAGATCATCATGTTAATTGAGATGTCAGGCACAGAAAGATAAGAACTGAATGATCTCTTATGTACACTGTAAACAGTTGATCTCAGAAGTTGGGAGTAGGATGGTAGTTACTGGAGGTGGGGAGGGGGTACAGAGAAGGGTTGGTGGAGAGGTATAAAAAGTTAGAAGGATTTAGTGCTATTAGAGCACAGTAGGGTGATTATAGTTAGCACTAACTTATTTATATTTCAAATTAGCAATGAGAGGAATTTAAATGTTCCCAAAACAAAGATATTAGCATGGGTACGCGAATTACCTTGTTTTGATCATTACACCTTATACACATGTATCAAAGTATCCCTGCACCCCATAAATATGTACAATTATTATATCAATTAAAAATTACCCAGATGCAGTGGTGCATGCCTATGATCCCAGATACTTGGGAGACAGAGGCAGGAAGATGCGAAGTTTGAAGCCAGGCTCAGCAACTTAGTGAGATCCCATCTCAAAATAAGAAATAACAAGGGCTGGGGCTGCAGCTCAGTGGTAGAGCACCCCTGAGTTTAATCCCCAGTACTGCAATAATAAATAAATAAGGCCAGCATGACAGTAAAAAATTAGCTGCAAATCGTGTATCTGATAATAGGCTGGCATGCAGAATGTATAAAGAAATCTTACAATTGTAGCTCAATAGTAAAAGACAACTCCCCCCAACCCTTTTCTTTTTTCTGTGCTGGGATTGAACCCAGGGCCTGTGCATGCTAGGCAAGCCTCTACCACAGAGCCACTCCCAGCCCCAAACCCAATTCTTTAAAAAGAAAAAAGATCTGCATATGTATTTTTCCCAAGGAGATATTCAAATGACTAGTTAGCACGGGGAAAGATGTTCTATGAATATTCTAAAGCTATTGAAATTGTACAGTTTTAAATGAGTGAATTTTATGGCATGCAAATTATATTTCAGAAAAAAAGAATGAGTTAATCTACATGAAGTTAGGAAAACCGGCTACTTGGGGGGAAAAAAGTTGGATTTGCCTTTCATCTCATGCCAAAATAATTTCAAGTGGATTAAATATCTATATGTTAAAAAAAACATGTGAAAAATTAACTGAGGTACAGGGCCTAGCTACCTAGACTGAGCCCAAACTGACAGAACCTATTCGTGGTCTTGAACTCACTGTTGGCCAGTCCTCGTGGCCAGTCCTCGTTAAATACTTGGATGAAACAGAAGACCAATAAAATGTGAGTGAATTTGAAAACCTCCATTTCATTTAGACGAAAGAGGGTGAATGTCTCAGATGGTCTCTAACCTGCAGAGGAAAGAATTGCTTACAGCAGTTTAGAACTCGCAGTTCTATCTACCCAGGCCCTTGGCACACCTTCTGTTTCAACTCTGGAGTTCTGAGAATTCTATCTGCTGGAGCTTATGGGAGGAAAAAAAAAAAATAGCCATTTGATAATGTGCATGGCCCTCTGAAGATGCACATGGCCAGCATGGCTCACCAGGAGGCGCCAGGACCTCAGCGGTCTCCCTGCTCTGGGTCTGGCATCCTATTGCAGGCTGGGGAACAGGGGCCTGTGTCCAGAGCAGGCAACATGGAACCTGCCACAGGGGAATGCCCACCATGTCTCTGCTCATCCTGGGAAAATGCGAACCCTTCCCAAGTGCTGGCTCTGAAGCCGCCAGCCATCAGGTCCAGATGTCTCTTCACCCTACAGTATGCACTGTGGTCAGCAAGCCTGCCACAGCCAGGTGGGCAAGCAACAGGCACTCAGTAGGTGTCTTCAAGGCTCATAAGCATGCCCAGAGGTGCTCTATTCCCAGGGCTGGGGAAAAGGGGGGCCTGACAGCCTCTCTTCTCAAGAAGGTCTTGACTGATTTGGGAAAATAGATCCAAGCTCAGTGGAAAAACCACAATCCCCAAAAGTCTGGGCTGGAGCCTGAGTGTTTTCCAGACTGATTTCCTCAAGACCAAGGCACCTGGTGGTAAGCTCTTTGTGTGCTCTCTGAGCCTAGGGTAGGGCCTGACATGGAAAAGGTGCTTAATAAATGTTTATTATATATTAAAAACATTTATAGCAGCATTGCTTCTAATAGCAAAAATGGAAACCCAGGGGGCTGGGATTGTGGCTCAGTGGTAGAGCTTGGGACGCATGAGGCACTGGGTTCAATTCTCAGCACCACATAAATAAATAAATGAAAAGGTAAAATATTGTTGTCTATCTTCAACTAAAATAATAATAATAATAATAATAATAATAATAATAAAATCCTGAAATCCAAAGGAGTAAAAGTAAGGAAATGAATGAAAATAACAGGGTTGGTATTTTAAAAATCATGTTCTTAAAAATATTTGAATCTGAGAAATGTTAACAAACAGCAAAGGTCACAAAACTACAAATCTATATCTATCTATCTCTGTGTGTACATGTTTGGGAAAAGATGCATCGGGAAAATATTAGAAGAAAATACACCAAATGTTAGCTGGTTTTCTGTAGGTGGCCAGATTACTGAACAACTTTCCAAATTTCCTATAAAGGGCATGAATAATTTTTGAAATCCAACTTAAGCAGTTCCTAAAGTTCAAGGAGGGAGGGTTGGTGATAAAGCTCAGTGGTAGAGCCTTTGCCTAGTGTGCATATGGCTCTGGGTTCCATCCTCAGCACCAAAAAAATAAATAAAAAATAAAAAAAGAAAGAAAAAGAAAATTGTAGAAGCAGTAACTTGAAGGCCCTGCAGACAGTCAGGCCCCCCAGATGATACAGGACCTGGGGTACCTAAGGGGTCAGCAGAAAGCCCAGCAGCACCAGACCCCATCTTTGGTGAGCTCTGCGCAGCCCTCCTCCGAGCTCTGCAGTAGGTGGAACCTTCCCTGGGTTTGACAGTGCCCTCGATGGAACGCCAATTGCTGTACATGGCTCAAGCCCAATTCCGAACCTCCTCTCCCCGACCCCACCTCGGGGCCTCTGCACCTGCTGAACTCGCGTCCTCTGTCTTTGCGAGCCGAGAGCCGGGACAGGAACCACATCTGGGACGCCCTCAGTTTTGGGAAAGATGCATCTTTTCCCAAAAAGAAGTCAACTGAGGCACTCTGCACCCTTCGGTAGGGTCTTGGTCGTACTTAGTAGGCTACTGCCTCATCCCGGGGACCCTCCACCCTGGGGGTAATGCAGCGCAGCCCCTCTTAGTCTCCAGCACGCGGGGTGCATCCATTCCGCCTGGAAGAAGGGTGGCCCACCTCCTCCTTCTCCTCCAGGAAGCCCTCCGACCGGGGGGCCAGCGGCTGCCCAGAGCTTCCTCCCTCGCCTGCAGTCGCCCAAAGCACTGGTGCGGGGCACTCCTCACCGGGGACCGCGGTCGCAGACTTGCAGCGCGCGGGAGGCGCAGTCCCTGAGGGCTCCCTGGAAGCGGCGGCTCGGCGGATGGGCGGGCGGGGCCGGGCAGAGGACTCGCGACGCGTGGGCCCCTGTGCGGTAACAATAGCCCGCTGCCCACCACCCCCGGAGGCCGCGCGCGCTTACCGTCTCAGAGGCCGCCTCCACCAGGCCCTGGCTCATGGCTGCAGCGCTGCCGGGCCGCCGCAGCACTCGGCACCGCGATCCAGGTCCGCGGCCAGCCAGGCCGCCCGCTGCCATGGCAACCGCGCCACGCCACGGGCCCCGGATGTGGCCCCGCCCGGTGAGCCGGGCGACCGTAAGCGAACGCGGAGGCGGCTGGCCGACCGGAAATGCTCCCGGAGTTGCTGGCTCAGCGCGGTGGAGCGCAGGCCCGCGAGGTGCAGAGCCGCGCTGGGCTTCGGCGTGCTTCCCGGCTGAAGTTCCACAGAGGCTTCGTGCCGCCCTTGCATCTCTCACCATAGGAAGAGCAAGCGGACGATTAATCAGGAATGCGTTTTTATCAAGTTAATGTGGAAAGACAGAGATGGCTTGTCCAGGCAGTCCCCAAGATGCTTAGGTTATTTGGGCTCCAACATTCATGTTATTAGCAAAGGGTGGTTTTCTGTCTCCACCCAGGCCTCCAAGGCCGGCTGTCCACATCTTCTCCATGCCCTCTCCCTGCTCTATTTCTCCAGGATCTGACACTTATCTATAAGAACATGCAGTGTCTGGACTGGAAGCCGCTGGCAGTGGTTCTGTGTTCGCTCTCCGGAACAGGGTCTGGCAGGAAGCAGTTATCCAATATATAGAGACCTTTTATTTTATTTGTTTATTTATTTATTTATTTTTAAACAAATAGACATTTGATTCCAGCGAGTCCGATGACCTTGGCCTCTGCTTCAAGTGGAGCGTGAGAAAAGGGCTGTGGGGCTCAGTATGTGTTCAGTGTTGAGAAGAGTAACCTGCCCCATAGTGAGGATAGTGTGGCTCTGTTGTGATTTTATGATGGAGGGATGAACAAACAGGTATGCTTCACTGGTTGCTAGTTCTCTTGTTCTGGCCACCACCCCAAATTATGAGTCTGTGGTCCTTTTACCCCCTCAGTTTCCCCATATTTGTGTTTTCATTGGGGCCTCCCCTCAAGCAGGGTAGTCCAAGCTGGTTAGTGGTAGCAAGGTCAGAGTTTGGACACTCACTGTTGTCTTCTTGTCTGCAAAATGGCAATGATTCCAGGGATTTTTTTTTTTTTTGTATCAAAAGAGGAAACAAAATTTAGCACAGTGCCTGGCACATAGTTAGCACTCCTAAAAACAGAAGCTAACAGGTCTAACAGTCTTTGTAAAAACTTCCATTTGCACCAGGCATGGTGGCACATACCCATAATCCCAGCCAGCCTGGGTAATTTAGCAAGACCATATCTCTAAATTAAAAAAGGGTCTAGGAATGTAGCTCAGTAGCAAAGTGCCCTGGGTCCAATCCTCAGCATAGGGTGGGGAGCTTTACATTGCTTCCAGGAATTGATCACGATACACCAGTTTTTGTTTTGTTTTGTTTTTAATATTTATTTTTTAGTTGTAGTTGGACACATTACCTTTATTTTATTTATTTTTATGTGGTGCTGAGGATCGAACCCAGGGCCTCACATGTGCTAGGTGATCACTCTCCTCTGAGCCACAACCCCAGCACCGGGGTTTTGTTGCCCTCACTCCTGGGGCTTCCCAATGTCCTGCCCTTCTCATTTAATGATAAATACAGTGTATGTCTATGATCTTTTCTCTATGGTTCTGAACACCAAAAACTTCTGAAAACTTTTCATAATTCATTCGATAGCAACACCTGTCCTAACCTCACCTTGGAAGGAAAACTGAGCCAAAATGTGAATAGTACCCATCCTCCGGGGCTACTATTAAGCACAGCACCTAGCGCAATGCTATTCTACGTTTTACTTTCTCCAGGGGTACCCAATTAGGTAATATCCGTACTCTAGTAGGATCTCATTTGGAGTTGGGTGTGGGAGGAGGGTCCCTGCAAGGGTCAAGGTAATTGTCCAAAGTGCTGTCCCCATCTAGTCAAAGTTGTTGCTGTTGTTGTTTTAATTATTTTTGTATGTATTTTTAGTTGTTGATGGACCTTTATTTTATTCATTTATTTATATGTGGCGCTGCGAATCAAACCCAGTGCCTCACACATCCTAGGCAAGCGCTCTGCCACTGAGCCACAGCCCTAGTCAAAAGTCTCACTTTTATCTTAACATCTATAGGAATTCTGCTTTCCATTTGTTAATATAAAACTAGTTTTCGCTTTAAAAGCTTGCTGCAAAGCTGATGCCAAGGGAACAGGAACCTTGTTTACCCCCCCCCCGCCCCCCCCCCCCCCCCCCCCCCCGGGCTTGACAGTCTCTGGTACACACAGGAAGACCCAGTTCTGAGACCTGAAAGCCAAATGACCAATGATTTTGGCTACTGAACCAAAGCGCCACTTCCCGGCACATGCTCCGCTCCTCCCGCGGGGCGCAAAGGCGCGGGCTGGACGAGCCGGGATCCGCCCCCAGAGCCTGAGCCTGCCCAGGGCCCGCCCCCAGAGCCTGAGCCTGCCCCCTTCTCCGGAGCCCGCCTCGGGCTCGCTGCGTCCACCGAGGCTGAGGCATATACCACCGAGCGCCCCGGTGGGGGGGACAGATCCGAGCAGCAAGTTCGGTGCGAGCCTTGCCCCCGTTTCGCTCAGCTTGAACTGGCTCCGCCAAATCTCAGCCCTTTGGGAGACAGGAGCGGCCTCCTGGGAAGCTGTCACGGGTCCCCACGCCTACCGCCCCACCCTCCCTTTCCTCCGGCCCGGCAAGTGGCACAGTCTGAAGGCCGGCCCCGGCGGCGTGGGGCGGGGCCTGCGCCGACGTGGGGCGGGGCCCGGGCGGCGTGGAGGAGGGGCTTGCGTCGGTGCTCGGAGCTCGAGCGGGTGAGGTGCGCGCGGGGCCTGGGTCACGGCAGCCGGCGGGCGGGATCTGAGCGAGCCGAGGGCGGCTCCGGGCGCGGCGTGCGTGGGCCTGGACTCGGTCCCCGCGCGCCCGTGGCGTCCAAACTTGGCCCTTTGCGGCTGACGCCCGCAGCGGAGCCACAGCAGGCATGCAGAAGCGGGCCTCCAGCCCAAAACCGAGTCGGTCGCGGGAGGGCGCCTCTTATCCGGACTCAGCCTGGCAGGGGACTGACTGACGAGCACCCCAGTCCAGGCCCAAAGACACCCGGGTCACCTCCCGGGCAGGAGACGCAAATTCACACTTTGGTCTTAGGGGGACAAACACACTGTCCCTTCTGCACACCGCTGTTGGATTGTCATTTATTACCGCTGACCCAGAGGGGACAGACCCTGTGATGCCAGGATAGACGTTCCCCTATACACGTGGTTGATTATAGAACTCCCAGCCTCCTTTGACTCTGGCCCACTTGCAATTAGCTCAGCATGAATTTGTGTCCCCTGTCCCACCGCAACCAAAGTTAAAAGTCAGTGAGCACCAAAGACCTTGTGGTTTAGGTCAGTCTTATATCCCGGCACTGGCCCCCCCAGGACTCAGGGCTCTGCAGTCCTTTCAACGTCTGGGCCTTCCCAGACTGAGCTTGATATTTATCTGTACAGCTTAGAGCTCCAGTCTGAGTTGAAAGTTCTGGGGCCTCTTCCAACTCCTAGCAGGCTTCATAGGCTGCCCATGATTAGGAATCTGGAGCCAGGCATGAGGTTCCTCATGTTTCCTTTGCAGGGACCCTTGAGGATCATGGACCCTGAATGCTCCCATCTCCTCCCAGCTCTCTGTGCTGTTCTGGAAGATCCCAGGCAGCCAGTGGCAGATGACACTTGTTTGGAGAAGCTGCTGGATTGGTTTAAAACAGTGACAGAGGCAGGTAAGATAATGGTGCTGCTGTTGGCTGTTGGCCAAAGGCCAGAGGATGGTGCAGATCATGGGATAAGGTGCCTGGGGTTCTCCTGGCTATCTGGAATCTTTCTTTCACTTCCTAGAGACTCTCCAGGAAGCTGACTGGGGACAACCCAGGCTGAGGTCTAAGGCACCAGCCTGAGAATCTGAGTTTGAAATTCTTAGCATATCCCTGTTCAGATCACACTAGTTGTTTGAAGAGAGCATGGACAAACTATTTTGTTGTTTTCATTGCATTTTGACTTTTTAAAAAATTTTAAATTTTTATTTATTTTTGGTACCAGGGATTGAACCTAGGAGGTTTTACCACTGAGCTACATCCCCAGCATCTCTCCCTCCACCCCCTTTTTTTGATTGAGACAGTCATTAAGTTGCTGAGGGTCTTACTAAATTGCTGATGTTGACCTTGAATTTACAACACTCCTGCCTCAGTCTACCGAGTTGCTGGAATTGCAGGCATGCACCACCATGTCCAACTTTTGTTTGTTTTAAGAAGTCAGATTTTTTTCTTTCTGATTATGAAAGTATAAGACTTGAAAAGTACAAAGAAATAAAGAGGAAAATTAAACCACTGTTGATATTGTATTTTCTTTAGTCTTTGCTAGTTTTAAAGTGTTTAATTTAGCTGGGGGTGGTGATGCACACCTGTAATCCCAGTGACTCTGGAGGTAGGAGGAGCACAAGTTTGAAGCCAGCCTGGGCAACTTAGGGACAACCTGACTCAAATATAAAAAAGATTGGAGCATATAGCTCAGTGGTAGAGCACCCCTGGATTCAGTCCCCAGTACTTTCAACCCCTGCCCCCAACCCACCAAATTGTCTGATGGGAATCTGTACAGACAGTTAAAGGAGCTCACTTTGGCTTTGGATCCGCTTTCCTCCATGTTATTATCTAGCACTTTAGCTTCTTATTTCAGAATCCTTTAATAATGATTTATTTTTAGTTTTTTTTTTTTTTTTGGTGCTGGGGATTGAACCCATGGCCTTATGCATGCAAGGCAAACACTCTACCAACTGAGCTGTATCCCCAGCCCTACAATTTTTAGTTTTTTAAAAATAAATCATACAGCTTAATTTTTTTTTTTTTACAGCTTAATTTTTAATAAACTTTATTTTGGGAAGTATTTTTAGTTTTGCGCTCGTTCAGTGCTTCTTGGGGCTCACCCACGTGCCTATTGGTTGTTTCTGGCTCCCTCCTCTTCTCTCTGCTCTCTTTCCTGTGACAAACTGAAGGCAGCTCTTTGGTAGTCCTTCCCGCACCCCCCACCCCTGGATACTCCCAGCCCTTGATATAAAACGTCTTCCCCACCCCACCGGTACTTTTGGATCCTGTAGTTATGACTCTGAATCTGGGGACAAGGGT